CATGTTTCTTATGTCTCTCTTTGGGTCAGTTACTGGTATTTGTAAGCCTTCCAAAGTTGCAAACAAACCTTAATAAATAAAATGAACTTATACCTACTTGCTTCTGAGTTCGCCCCATTACAATAATTTATATTTATTTTGGCATAAACTCATTGGGGCTTAATTTTGGACAGGATTGCTTGGTAAAGAAACAGGTTTTCTAACTCCACTGGAATTTTAAAAATATTAAATGCAGTTGGGATTTCCAAGCCATAGGATACTTGTAACACAAGGATAAGAAATAAAGCCATCTTTGTGAATCTGTGCGTCTGGGAATGAAAGGCAGCCTCCCCAAGTGTTGGGTGTGTGGAATTCCTGTCCCAAAGTGACCAGTTCCATCTCCCAGTCTCATTGTGAGGTTAGCTTGTGGCATAAAGATTGTAAGCAGAGCGATATTTCTATATTTTATTTACCTTTTTATCTGAAATGTTGTATGTCATCAAGTTGTTTCCAATGTATAGTGATCCAAAGGCATAAGGTTTTCTTGGAAGGATTTATTTAGAGTTTGCCTTTGCCTTCTTCTAAGGCTGAGAGAGTGTGACTTGCATGAGGTCCATGACTGATATCCCATTTTCCAAGTCCAACACTCAAACTACTGCACAATGTTGGTGCTTTGACTATAAGGTAAAGCGTCCTTAGTAAATTTCTTCTCACACTGAGGAGAGAGAATACACTGATGTTTAAGTGTCTACGCTGCAATTGGAAAACGTTAGGTGAGGTCTTCACTGTCTCTGGCAGATGACTTCACTGTCTCTGCTTGTGCTAATCAGCTTTTGTATGATGTTATTTCTAGCACCCACTTTTTACTTCTTGTAAGTCAGCGCATGGTCCAGAGCAGCTATGGGCAAACTTTGGACTTAAACTCCCACAATTCCTAACAGCCAATGGGAGTTGAAGTCCAAAACACCTGGAGGGTCAAAGTTTGCCCATAGCTGGTCCAGAGTGACTCCCATGCATTTTGATGTGGTGCAATGCTCCAGTGGGATTCCTTTCCATGAAATCCTTGAAGCTTGAGATGTTTGTCTGCTCTTAAGATGAAAAGCACACGTCTGCATTTTAGATGGGATTGGGAATCTGCTGTTTTTTTCCTGCAATAGGCTGATTTGTTACCTATTTTATACCTATTTTATATGCCTATATACCTGACCATGTTAAAAAAATTATCAAGGCAAAAGGGTCCCTGAGGGGGGAAGTTTAGTAATGGCAAAAGTTTCCCTTGACATTAAGTCTAGTTGTGTCTGACTCGGGGGGGAGGGGGGGTGTGTGCTCACCTCCATTTCTAAGCTGAAGAGCCAGTGTTGTCTGTAGACACCTCCTAGGTCATGTGGCCAGCATGACTACATGGAGCGCTTTTACCTTCCTGCAGAAGCAGTACCTATTGATCTACTCACATTTGTGTGTTTTCAAATTGCTAGGTTGGCAGTAGCTAGGCCTAACAACGGGAGGTCACCCTGCTCTCTGGATTTGAACTGCTAACTTTTCGGTCAGCAAGTTCAGCAGTTTAACCCACTGTGCCACTAGGGGGCAGTTTAAGAAGCCTTAATCTAGACCAGTGGTTCTCAACCTTTGGTCCTCCAGGTGTTTTGGACTTCACCTCCCATAATTTCTAACAGCTTGATAATGTCAGCTCCACTGGCTACTTGTTTGCTACTGGGCACAATTCAAAGTGCTGGCTTTGGCCTATAAAGCCCTAAATGGCCCAGCCCAGTTTAGCTGTCCAAACGTATCTCCCTCTATGAACCACTGCGAAGACTAAGATCTTCTGGCGGGGACGAGAGACAGAGCCTTCTCAGTGATTGCCCCAGGTTATGGAACTCCCTTCCTGGCAATATTAGATCTGCAACCTCCCTCCTCTCCTTCAGAAGGACGGTGAAGGCCTGGCTGTGGGAACAAGCCTTTGGGGCAGTGCAGTGAGCAATAATAGAATGGTGTCCTGAGATGGTTTTTAAGCAAATGATTTTAAAGTGGATATAAGTGATTTTAATGTTTGTATAAGGTAAAGGTAAAGCTTGTCCCCTGACATTGAGTCCAGTCGTGTCGGACTCTGGGGGTTGGTGCTCATCTCCATTTCAAAGCCAAAGAGCCGGCATTGTTCATTGACCCCTCCAAGGTCATTTGGCATGACTGCATGGAGCGCCCTTACTTTCTGCAGAAGTGTTACCTATTGATCTACTCACATTTCCATGTTTTTGAACTCCTAGGTTGGCAGAAGCTGGGGCTAATAGCGGGAGCTCACAGTGCTCCCTGGATTTGAACCAGCGACTTTTTGGTCAGCAAGTTCAGTAGCTCAGCGATTTAACTTGCTGTGTCTCCAGGAGCACCAGGCATGTAGCCGGGGGGGGGGGGGGCTTGGGGGGCTTCAGCCCCCCCCCCGAAATTCTCATGGTGGTCCGCGAGAAGGCCTTACTGGTACATTATTTAAACTGTTATGTTTATTCATATAATGATCTGATCACCATGCTCAATATATCCCATATGCATGGGGGTATTGGGATAACGATACAAAAGGTTTGCTAGGGTAGATCCTCAGCCCCCCCCCTTGAATCAAACTCAGCCCCCCTCCCCCCAAATCAAACTCAGCACCCCCTGAATAAAAATCCTGGCTATTGGCTTGAGGAGTGCTGTTACCTTCCCGCTGGAGCAGTACCTATTGATCTACTCACATTTGCATGCTAGGTTGGCAGAAGCTGGGGCTAACAGGGGAAGCTCACCCCGCTCCCGGATTCAAACTGACAACCTTTCGGTCAGCAAGTTCAGCAGCTCAGTGGTAGAATCATAGAATCAAAGAGTTGGAAGAGACCTCATGGGCCATCCAGTCCAACCCCCTGCCAAGAAGCAGGAATATTGAACTCAAATCACCCCTGACAGATGGCAACCCAGCCTCTGTTTAAAAGCTTCCAAAGAAGGATCCTCCACCACATTCTGGGGCAGGGAGTTCCACTGCTGAACGGCTCTCACAGTCAGGAAGTTCTTCCTCATGTTCAGATGGAATCTCCTCTCTTGTAGTTTGAAGCCATTGTTCTGCGTCCTAGTCTCCAGGGAAGCAGAAAACAAGCTTGCTCCCTCCTCCCTGTGGCTTCCTCTCACATATTTATTAGGCTTGGGTAACCACGGAAAAAATTGGTTCTAAACTCGTTTTGTTTTTAGGGGGCCCTTGCATTTCGTTTTTTTTAATAATTCCGAAATTTTCCTTTTAAAAATTTCGAAATATACGAAATTTCGCAAAATTATGAATCGATTCGTTAATGGCGGACGCAATTGCGCAATATGCTAAAAAAACCTCCAAATGGGACAGGGGGAACTTCTGAAGCTTCCCTCTCCCTCTGTTGTTGACTGTTGGTGTGATAAAACAAACAACAACTATAAAACTTGCACCAGACATGCGAAAATAATTACGCAATAATTACTAAGTAATTACGAAATAATTACAAAATAATTACAAAATAAATTGAAAAAATTGTTTCGAATCTAATTTACTCCTCACACTATTCCTGCATGGCTCAATATGGGATCGTAAGCTAATTTAAATACGAATTAATAACGAATTACGAAATTAACGAATGAAACCGCCCAAGCCTAATATTTATACATGGCTATCATATCTCCTCTCAGCCTTCTCTTCTTCAGACTAAACATGTCCACCTCCTTAAGCCGCTCCTCATAGGGCTTGTTCTCCAGACCCTTGATCTCGGTGGCACAGTTTAACCCACTGCGCCACCGAGGGCTCCAATGTTTGTATATATTTATGGTTTTATGTACCGACATTTAACGTTTGCTGTATATATGTTGTGCTCTGCCCTGAGTCCCCTGCAGGGTGAGAAGGGCGGAATATCAATGTTTAAAATAAATGAGATGGCTGGGAATTCTGGGAGTTGAGGTCCAAAATATAAGTTGAGAACCACTGATCTAGACTGTGGGAGAGATGCCTGTTGACCCCACTTGGATGTGCCATGCCTCAATGTGATGCAGGGGTTCTCAACCTTCCTAATGCCGTGACCCCTTACTTAATACAGTCTCTCATGTTGTGGTGACCCCCAACCATAATATTGTTTTCGTTGCTACTTCATAACAGTCATTTTACTACTGTTATAAATCATAATGTAAATATCTGATATGCAGGATGCATTTTCATTCACTGGACCAAACTGGGCACAAATACTCAATACACCCAAATGTGAATGCTAGTGGGGTTGGGAGAGGATTGATTTTGTAATTTGGGAGTTATAGTTCACTTATAATCAAAGAGCATTCTGAACTTCACCAGCGATGGATTTGAACCAAACTTGGCTCCCATGACCAATGGAAAATACTGGAAGGGTTTGGTGGGCATTGACCTTGAGTTTGGCAGTTGTAGTTCACCTATATCCAGAGAGCACTGTGGACTCGTGCAATGGTGGATCTGGACCAAACTTGGCATGGATACTCAATATGCCCAAATGTAAAGACTAGTGGAGTCTGGGGAAAATAGATCTTGACATTTGGGAGTTGTAGTTGCTGGGATTTATAGTTCATTACAATCAGAGAACATTCTGAATTCCACCAACGATAGAATTGGCTCAAACTTCCCACATGGAATTCCCATGACCATCAGAAAATACTGTGTTTTCTTATGGTCTTTGGTGACTCCTCTGACACCCCTTCGCGACCCGCTCAGGGGTCCCGACCGCCAGGTTGAGAAACACTGATGTGATGGGATCACAGTGTCCTAGTCTGACAAGGCCTTCAGACTTCTCTCTGGTGTTTTGTCACCTCCCAGGACTCCATAGGATTGAGAAAGAGCGCTTAAGCCGGGGTCAAACTGCTCCAATTGGACAGTGGGGAGTCTCCCTTTCCCTTTGCTGTCCCGACACAGGCGGGTACGCGTCCGAAGCAAGGCCCTTGGTAACCCGTAGCAACGGGGGCGCGCCTGGCGGGGAGAGAGAGAGAGAGAGAGAAGGGAAGGGAAGGCCGGCCTCCTCCTCCTCTCTCTCGGGCCGCCCTCTCCTTCTCGCCGCCTGAGGAGGCCCCTTCCCCGCATCGCCAGCACTCTTCGTCCTCTTCTCAGGGCAGGAGCCATGGAGCGGTTGACGCTTCAGCCAGGGGCCGCCGCCGCCATCGACGAATACCTGGAGTACAAAAGGTGAGTACTGAGGCCTGGCAATGGCACGGGAAAGGACAGGGGAGGCGAGCTAGGCCTCTTCCGCCTTCACCTGAATGGCGGGCTGACTCTGAGCGAGCCTTCCCTCCCGGTCCTGATTTGGAGAGGAATGAACACATTCAGCCTTGTGGGTAAAGAGAGAGCGCCTCTGAGCATGTCTGGACGGCATTTCGCCATCACAACCTATCCATACCAAGCTAAAATAACAAAAGGGAACGAAGGCTTCTCGCCACTCCTGATTTTGGTAGGAATCATCAAGCTGGAAGAGACCCCAAGGGCCACCCAGCCTAACCTCTTTCTGCCATGCAGGAATAAACAATCAAAACACTCTGCATAGATGGCCATCCCGACTTCAGAAAAGGAGACGCTGAGGCAGCAGATTCTACTCTCCATTGGCTCTTATCACCAGGAAGTTCTTCCGTAATGTTCAGGTGGAATCTCCTTTCCTGCAGTTTGAATCTATGGTGCTTTGTCCCACAAGCATGGGTAAACTTCAACTCCTGGTCAGTCGCAAGGCCGAACAGGGTATAGGGTTACAGCCTGTGTTGGACAGGGTCACACTCCCCCTGAAGACGCAGGTTCGCAGCTTGGGTGTGATCATGGATTCATCGCTGAGCCTGGAACCCCAGGTCTCGGCGGTAACCAGGGGAGCATTTGCACAATTAAAACTTGTGCGCCAGCTGCGACCGTACCTTGGGAAGTCTGACTTGGCCACGGTAGACCACGCTCTGGTTACATCCCGCATAGATTACTGCAACGCGCTCTATGTGGGGCTGCCCTTGAAGACTGCCCGGAAGCTTCAGATGGTCCAGCGCTCGGCAGCCAGGTTGTTAACAGGAGCGGCACTCAGGGAGCATACCACTCCTCTGTTGAGCCAACTCCACTGGCTGCCAATCTGCTACCGGGCACAATTCAAGGTGCTGGCGTTAGCCTACAAAGCCCTAAACGGTTCCGGCCCCACTTACCTTTCCGAACGCATCTCCACCTATGAACCGACGCGGACATTAAGATCGTCCGGGGAGGCCCTGCTCTTGGTCCCGCCTGCGTCACAGGCACGGTTGGCAGGGACGAGGGACAGGGCCTTCTCGGTGGTGGCCCCTCGGCTATGGAATGCCCTACCTGTAGACGTCAGACAGGCCCCTTCGCTGTTGGCGTTCCGGAGGAAGGTTAAGACTTGGCTCTACGAGCAAGCATTTGGCTAAACAGTGCAACTGAACACAGGAAGACGGTAAAATTGAACATAGGAATGGCACAAGGATTATGAGAATGGATTTTGTTCTGTTATCGAGGCGTCATGAATTGATAATAATTGTTGATTTTGTTGTTGTGTATGATGTGTTTTTAACTGTTTATTGTTGTGATAACCTGCATTGTGTAAACCGCATTGAGTCGCCTAATTAGGCTGAAAAATGCGGTATAGAAATAAAGCAAATAAATAAATAAATAAATAATTATTAATAAAGATGTTGAACAGCACTGGGCTTAGGACAGAATCCTGTGGCACCCCACTGGTCACTTCTCTCCTGGAATGTTAACATTCAGTCTTGCATAAGGAAGAGAGTGCCTCTTGGCATGTTTGGAAAGCATTTCATCACCATAACTTATGCATACCAGACTAAATGTGAGAAGAAGAGACTGGCAAAACCACCTCTGTTCCTTGCTTCATGACATTCATAGAGGCATCATAAGTCGACATGCGACTTGAAGACACTTATACAGTAATAATGATGTAGCCTACCTGTATAAAGGATGATGGGAAGGACCTGGTAGTTGAAGGAAGATTATTTCCCTTTCTTTCTGTCCTTTTCTATTTTCAGCATGGCTGGTTGAATGACAGACCCAGCGTATGATGAATAGACAGAATTAATGCAGTTTGATACCAGTTGAACTGCCATGGCTCGGTGGTACAGAATCAAAGGGGTTGTAGTTTTAAAAGGTCTTAAGCCTTCTCTGTCAAGCATGTTGGTGCCCCATCAAACTACAGTTCCCTATAAATTCATACCATGGAGCCACGGTAATTAAAGTGGTATCAAGCTGCATTAATTCTACATTGTTGATCCATTCATAACTTGGCATGTAAACATAGTGGTGAGGAAAGTTGTGTGTATGTCTTAAAATCGTCTGTGAATTTAGGGCAACCCCATGGATTTCATAGGGTTTTCTCAGCTAAGAAATACCCAGAGGTGGTTCTGCCAGTTCCCTCCTCTGAAATATTGCCTTCTCGGTCTCCCATACAAGTACTATCCCAGAACTGACCCTGCTTAGCTTCAGAGATGAAGCAGGATCTGGTGCTTTAAGAGCATAAGACCAAATTTCCAAATGTTTCAGACTCCACATTTTGCTCCAAGATTCTCCAGTTTATTCTATGTCTCAAGTCACGGCCATTTCAGTGTTACTTTTCATGTATTGGTGCATTCAGTGTTAGTTCTTAATTTTAATTAAAATATAATTATATGCAGAAATTATAGAGAAATATAATTAATTGTAACAGAAAGCAAAGTAAACATGAATTAGTCCATGTAATGGAAATGTTGTGGAAGTGAACACTTTTTTACAGAATTGTAGGTGAAGATGATGGAGGAAAACTCTTTACCCCTGAAGAATATGAACAATACAAGAAAAAGGTGTTGCCAATGCGTTTACAAAACCGATTGTACGTGAGCTGGAGATCCCCAACTGGCATGGATTGTAAACTTGTGGGCCCTGAAACCCTTTGTTTTTGCACTCATAGGTAAGATTTTGTGTTTTATACAATGCCATTTGCTCTTCAATAGAAGCATTTCATATGAACAGATACTATAATTAACTTGAGAATTTACATCTTAGAGAACTTTAGAAAACACTTCTGAGACAGTCAGGTAGTTTAATATTAGAATCATCTTTATTTATACCCCACCTTTTCCTTCAGAACTCTTGTCTGTTTGAGGCAAGTGTGAATGTTGCAGTTGACCAGTTTGATTAGCACTGAATAGCCTTGCAGCTTCAAAGCCTGGGTGCTTCCTGCCTATGGGAATCCTTTGTTGGGAGGTGTTAGCTGGCCCAGGAAACAATCAGAGCTAATCAAAGTGGCCAACTGAAACATTCACACTTGCTTCAAATAGTTCTTTCTCCCACCCTGGACATTCCACAGATATGCATAGTTTCAACAGACCTCACAACCTCTGAGGATGCCTGCCGTAGGTGTGGGTGAAATGTCAGGAGAGAATTCTTCTGGAACATGGCCATACAACCCGGAAAACTCACAGCAACCCTATAGATAACATGCTTGAGTTGGAATATTCTAAGGCAGTTCTCAACTGAGGCCCTTCCACGCAGCCATATAACCCAGAATATCAAGGCAGATAATCCACAATATTTGCTTTGAACTGGGCTATCTAAGTCCACACTGCCATACAATCCGGTTCTATGTGGATTTTATACTGTAGTGTGGAAGGGACCTTTATCAATCTCTTGAGGAAGTACTTTCGCGGTACTAGCATTTATCCCTGAGTCTTCATTATTACTTCAGGACTCTTTCTGTAGTGTTGTTGATTTTTTTTAAAAAAAGGTCAGTTGTATTCTAATCTGAATTTTCAAGCGATCCTATAGCATTATAGATGGCCCCACATGCTGATTTCTACTATCAGATTATTAGTAACAATTCTGTTGCACACAGGTAGTGAAAAGAAATGTTACTGGGGCATTACATTCCTCTGTCATAGCCAGTCTATGCTTACTAAAAGTTCACTTTGATTGCTTACTCTCCCTTTGGTGGAGTACAAACTTTTACTGACTTGGAGGATTCCAGTCTTAGAACTTTTGCTGAGTTCCTGAAAAACATATTGGTTAAATTCACTATGGACTTTTCAACACAAGATACGATTTCTACCTTTAGCTGTTTTTCACCATGTTTCGTACTTATTAAAAATCTTAATAGTGAAATGTAGTATTGGAATCAACCTTAAGAGGATTTTCTTCTGGGATTAAAGCCTAATTCCTTCGGAATAACACTGAAATGTATTTTCCAAATAATTGTACCAGGGTGTTTCCTTCAAAAGTCTGTAGCTTTGGAAATTTAAGTATTTTTCTGGTAACTTAGCACAAAATGAGAGATCCCTTGCCTCATTCTAAATTATAGGGGATTTAGACAGGGATTCTTGGATTCTCCACTAGAACGGCAATTCTTATTTTGAAGGCAGATTTGAAATAGCATATTTTTTTTCAGTATAATGAGTGAACCTTAAACGTTTTACCCTTCTTTCCTTCTCCAAATCCTTGTCATGTATTGGAGGATACGTGACAGTTGAGTTCGTTACTGGCTCTAATTCATTGTCCCTGGTCTCCTCAATAATAGATGTGAAAACATTGATTTGAAAAATGAAAGTGTTAGTTAGGAATTTTAAAATGTCTGCAAATGTGTGTGTGTTTTTAAAAACCTTTCCCAGGTATAAACAACACAAAACAGATTTTGATGTGATTCCAAAGGAACGCCCTATTTCTCTGCCCTGTAAGGTCAGCCGATGTCTATGCGCATCTTACAGCTTTGTCCCTCTCAATGGCACTCATCCCATCCGCTGTAGATGTAAGCATTTTGCTGATCAGCACAGTCCAGCACCTGGGTTTCCATGTACCATATGTAAGTATGGTTTAGCTATAAGTAAGCATGCCTTAACTGAATATAGTGACTGAATATATTCTTTTTCACTATATAGTGAATATAGTGAAAAAGTAAAAACCTGGGTCTTTGAACAAGCCTTTGGAAATGCAGTGCAATAGACAAACACGGGATAATGTAAGTTTGAAACATGGAAAATGCGATTAACAGGAAGACATAGGTTACTATATGTTTTAATGGTTTTTATATTGTTTTATAATGTTGTTTTAAAAGTTTTAATTGTATATTGTGGACTGTTATGGCATCGAATGGGTGTCAATCTGTAAGCCACCTTTAGTCGCCTTCGGCCTTGAGAAGGGTGGGATTAAAATATTGTAAATCTATATAAATAAAAATGTAATGTTCATTTGGGGAATTAACATAACTCAAAAACAACTGGGCGAATTGAGAACAAATTTGGACACAAGACACTTATCAGGCCAACAAGTGACCATATCTCATAAAAACACTAAAAACACAGCCGAAGAGACTTAAAAAGCAAAGCAAAAAACCCCAAAACATTACAATGCATGCACAAAACCATATATATACACATAAACACAAATATATAAACACACAAAACACATATACACAGACTGGGACACAGCAATGCGTGGCAGGGGATGACTAGTAAATAAATACATACATATATATAAATAAAAATGTAATGTTCGTTTGTGGGATTAACAGAACTCAAAAACCACTGGACGAATTGACACCAAATTTGGACACAAGACACCTAACAACCCAATGTATGTCCTTCACTCAAAAAAAAAAATGATTTTGTCATTTGGGAGTTGTAGTTGCTGGGATTTATAGTTCACTTACAATCAAAGAGCATTCTGAACCCCACCAACGATGGAATTGAACCAAACTTGGCACACAGTTCTCCCATGATCAACAGAAAATACTGGAAGGGTTTGGTGGGCAGTGTCCTTTGGTTTTGGAGCTGTAATTCACCTACATCCAGAGATCACTGTGGACTCATACAATGATGGATCTAGACCAAACTCTACACGAATACTCAATATGCCCAAATGTGAACACTGGTGGAGTTTTGGGGAAAATAGAATCTTGGCATTTGGGAATTGTAGTTGCTGGGATTTATAGTTCACCTACAATCACAGAGCATTCTGAGCCGCACCAACGACAGAATTGGGCCAAACCTCCCACACAGAACCCCCATGTGGGCCACAGCAACGCGTGGCAGGGGATGGCTAGTTATAAATAAATAAACAAACTGTATTTTATCCTATTCTATCTTCCCAAGGGGACTAATGTATTCTTTCAATATTGTGCTTAAAACCACAAATAGACAAAGGAAATGACTGAAGGCTTCAAATTCTGTCATTAGAAAATTCATTCAACATTCATTCTTAATGCTTCACATTTGGTTCATTTGCATGCTCATGATTTCTTAATCTGTACTGCAGACCGATCTTGAGAGTCTGATCACAGGCTTTTCAAGGAGGCGTAAGAGACATAGTTTTTACCATCTGGAGAAGCAGAAGCTATCTACAAATTGCCAAAGGATGTTTTATGTTAGTAGTACTATCCCACAATGTTTTTCAGATGCAAAATTGTATTCAGGAAACCAATTACAATCTTGTCTTTCTTACACATTTTCACCATGTTTAGCCTAGCTTTGAGTATTATTATGATTATGATTGTTATTATATACACAACTATATTGGTACACAGCAAGCAAGATCACTATGCTGGCTTTTGTATTTAATCACTCATCGGACACTTCCCAAGTGTTTAGGACTGTGTGATATATCGGCAAATAATGCATGCAGATCCAAGCAGGGTGGCTTTTTGCAGCTGACAGATGGTAATTTTGTCAGTGCTGATTGTTTTTAAGTGTAGGCCAAGGTCTTAAGGCACTGTACCCAGTGCTGATCACCTCCTCCTCTTCTTTTTCTTCTTCTTAATACCCTGCTTTATCTCCCCCGAAGCGGACTCAAAGTGGCTTAACATAAAAGCATTTTTTGAATCACATTAAGAGGCTTTTTCAGTGTAGGCTACCGTCACAGAATTCTCAAGTAGAAGTACCATTGAATGGAAAGTGCTAGTCTAATTTATTTAAAATATGTGTTGTGTTAGGTTCCAAATGTTCAGGATTTCACAGTTGCTTCACATGTGGATGTGGGGAACCAACATATGCTCATGAAACAGTGGTGGAAACCAAAGAGGAGCGCTTGGCCCAAGGAAAGCCAGTGGGGCATGATGTCCCTTATGCTGCAATGGGAGGACTAACTGGCTTTAGTTCACTAGCAGAAGGCTACATGAGACTAGATGACAGCGGGATAGGTAAGAACTAGGACTTGAAATATAAGGTGATTTCACTCTCTTTTTTTTCATAGAGCAATGGTTCCTAACCTGTGGTCTGTGGACCATAAGTGGTCCGCAAGAACAAAAATACAAGGCACGCAGCCTCATCATTACTACACCGTTGCCTTGAAACCATGTGGCAACGAGAGTGACTGGTCTTGCAAAACCCTCTTATTGTGCCAAGGCCACAGGGATATTGGGAGGGGAGAGGCTGACTACCCATAAAAGATTACTACTACCACATTAGCTCTAGATTATTAAATATGGTTTTCTGTGGTCTAGCAGATGATGACTACTGGATGGCATATGTTCTGTATCAGGAACTAGAGCTGATGTGATCTATCCAATGCAATTTTCTGAATCAGTACCCCAAATAACCAAACCAAATCTAAAGTTGACCAAAAACTGATTTGTAACCCTTTGGTGCTCATGTTGGAGAGTGGTCCCTGCTCAAAGTGGTTTCTGTTCAAGTGGTCCCTGGTCAAAAAAAGGTTGGGAACCACTGTCATAGAGGTACATCAAAAATGTTTTGGACAATTCACTCAAATTAAACTTCTATAATTTGAAACAACAAAAGACCTTTTCCAATAGCAGCATAGTACTTCAATCTCATGTATTACAACAAATGCTAAATTTTCACTCACTAATGTCATATTGGAGATGGACATCCAGTATCATGTATTTTGATCTCTTTGATGCTCAACGTTTTGTCTTAGTGTTGATACAATATAAAGCCATCAGGAGTAGTCTTTGATCGTTTGGGCATTGAGGGTTGCTAATATGTAGATGGCACCAGGATCTGTATTTCCACATTTAAGCAGCCAGTTGCAACTGCCATTATCATAAACACATAAAGCTGGAGACATTTCATAAAGTTAAACCATGTTGTGGATTGCTGAGTTTAACAGAAGTTGATTCCAAAGAAAATATAGAGTATGCTGAAGGGAAATTCTAATGCTATCCTGAAATTGCTATGCTTCATTTGAGTACAGTAATATTCTGATTCTCTTCAAAATCTCATTTGCTCCTGGGAAAAAATAGCTCTGGCAAAGAGTGCCTTTTATCAGGTTTCTCAAGACTCTCCTGACACGAAAAAAATAAAATAATAAATCAGGTGCATTTATGAATATGCTGATTTTTATTTCTTAAAAATTAAAGGGATATTGCCATGTTTATTCAAATATTTATAACAGGGCTTGGGAGCTGAAGGGCACAGTAAACTGGATTTTTTCTTGATCTGAAATCACAAAACTCATATTTTAGCAGCATTTTTAAGGTTCAACAGGTAACTTCAAGGCAGGCACTCTCCAGGAGAAACTTTCATCTCAACTTTAAGGCTCTGGTGTCCAGCATTTTCTGATCAAACTTGTGGATGGAATCATAGAATCCTTGAATCATAGAGTTGGAAGAGACCTCATGGGTCGTCCAGTCAACCCCCTGCCAAAGAGCAGGAAAATCACATTCAAAGCACTCCTGACATGGAGAAGGAAGACTGGTCTGTTCTATCTTATGTATACTGCTAAAGAGTATTTCTGCATTAACAACACTTTAAGGCCTTGGTAGTAAACTTATAATTGCTTACAGAGGGCTCTCCTGACCTAAAATTAATTAGCAATAATAAGCTGTGTATAAAATGATAAAAGAAAAGGCCCGGGTAGTGTAATCAATCCAGAGGCCAGCTGTGTTCCTATATTTGTTCTGATGGCACTAGTACTGTAGCTAACAATGTTGTCCATAATATCAACATCTCCAACTTTTTCAATTTGTGGTGCAATATATCCTATCATCTGCCAGTAAGTCCTTGTACTTACTTGTTCAATGATATTATTGAAGCACTATTTTAAAATTTACAGCTAGTAAACCTGACCAGTGGTAAACTGAGGTGTTCCTTTTGTTTTTATGTTTCATTTTAAGGAGCTCCTTCTACTCAGTTCCTTGAAGCTCCTGTAACCAATATGGATCATCCCTTTTTAAGAGCACTGCAAGGACCTTCCAGTTCTGCTCAAGCACAGTCGCAGTTAACAGATGGTAAGGACATTAAATAGTTTTTGAGCTATTTCAGTTCCTGAATGACGAGAAGGAAGGAGCCTCTAGCCCAAAAAAATATTTGCAAGGATAAGATTATGGAGAAGCTTGTATAGTTAGAGATCAGGGAATTGGTGAGAAAAGAAATAGAAGGTTTTAGAATATGTGCACTCTGATAAAAAACAAACAAACAGTGTATTTATGTATTCCATTGCTGTCATGCTTCTACAGGTTTTTGTGATGGGCTGTTGTACTTCCTAGTACATTTTTGTCTAAAAAATAGAAATGGAATAAGGATAAATTGTTGTTGTTGTTGTTGCTATCTGCATACTATTTTTTTCTCTTAATAAAGACTCAAAAGTCGCAAACAGTGCTAAACCTAAAGATTGTAAACATTAAAATAGAATTAAACCAAACACTATTTTAAAATAAACAGTTTAAACCATTAAAATAATTAAAGAACCTATTTACAATACAACAAATTAAAATCAGGGGTGAGCTTTATTTACAAATATTCTTATTATTATTTCTTCAAATTAAAACAAAGATTATACTTGCATTCTTAGATTTTTTCCTTGCAAACTAATGAGACTTCTAGAAAAGCTCATGATCTTGAGCATTCATTGAGAAAACTGGTATGTCTTGAAAAAAAGAAGTCCTTGCATTTTAAAATCAAAAGAGCTGAAAATACTGTGTTGCTTTTAAGGTGGAACAAGTACAGCAATGCAAGCCACCAGTTTAAGGCGACCTGAGGAAGATGACATGGCTTATTTTGAAAGACAGTATCAAGCAAAGGTAAGTGTGTGTATACCTAATTTAAAAACAAACATGTTATTAATAGATGAAAAAATGTTTAATGTACTGTTTTTAATGGTCTATATAACTTGGTTGTACGCTGGCAGATTATATCTCAGAAAATATTGCAATGTAGTCATTTTAATATAAATGTTATTGTATTATCAATGTTTAATTTTTTATATCTTACGTTTAAATTTTTTATGTTTATTTTTTTAAATTTGGTTAGGTTAATTTATAGTTACATGCTATTGTCTTGCTATTATCTTTATATAAATGAATAGGAGTGTTATTAAGAAACCAGTGCACATGTCTCAGCTGTAGCTCAACTGAACAAACTTCCCCCAGTGCTTAATTACATAAAATTTATTAAAAGAAATAGCTACCCAAGTGGTTCCATCTGGAGCATGTGCATATATGCCTTCAAGCCACTTGTCAACATATGGTGACCCCATGATTTTCACAGGGCTTTCTTAAACAAGGAATACTCAAAAGATGATTTATCAAGCTTATTAGTATTCATTGCTGGTCTCCTATACAAGCCCTAACCATGGCTAACCCTTCATAATTTCTGTAGTGGCTATGATAGTTGAGCATGAGAACTAGTAATTTCAGTGTTATCTTCAATCCCTACCATAATCCCATGAGATTTCTAGACGATATTAGCACCCAGAAATCCTATATGCTTGATGTTAATTCACTACATTGCTTGTCTATGGCTGTATCCTAATATCCGGCAAGAGGTATTTCCAGTACTTCATTAGGTATTTTGTATGACAGGTCAGTGAAATCTATCACAGTTGTTTGAAATAGACACAAATGAAAAATTAAGGCTTCCAGGAATGGATTCCAGCTGTGCTAGTTTAAGGAACTTGTTTCTGCTATTGCAAATGTTCCTTTTCTCATTTAATATATTCTTTATGCTTATCAGAACAGCAATGTAACATGGCATATATTCTAGCTAAAGCCAATTGCATCTGGGAATAGAGGAAAGCAGAAGGTACATAGCAGTTCAGAGAGGGTCACGATGCGAACTGACATGTGTTTGAGTGCTGATGGGAAAGATTGACTTATTTTGGGGCAGTTATAGCTAGGATCTGGTAAAATGTAATTTATCAGGAAACTAATACATTTCAATCTGAGAAATAGTCCGTTGTATAGGAGTTTTGGTTAAATAGACTATGTGATCTTTTAAAAAGTGTGTGCATTTTTCTCCATTGCAGTTAAAACAACAGAAGGCTGTGACACAGAAAGGAAAAGGTCCTTTGCCATCAAAGAATTCTTGAGAAGCAATAAATAAAAAAATGCTTTTGAATCACATGTTATTGCTGTTTTCATTTTTCATTTTAATGTTTTCCTTGATTATTCAAGTTTATTTCTGTTTCTTTTAACTGTGTTGTATTGGCAATACAAATCAGTGCTTGCGTATTTTCAGACAATCTCTTTAACATCTGCAATGCAGTGAGAACTCCAGAGTTGAAGATAGGAAAGCTTCTCCTGGAGTGTGCATGCCTTAAAGTTAACTGTTCCTTTATTGGTCACCTCATCAAAGTTTCAATCAAAGTTTGGCTTCCTCTCTATATAGCTTATAGCACTTGGTATTTCATGGGAGCCCCCTATTCAAGTACTAACCAAGTCTAGCCCTGCTTAGTTTTTTAAGATCAACTGAATTATATGACTTCAGGTGATTTAGGAAAATTCATTAGGATATTCTCCCTTTCTGTTTTAGGATTGGACATTATTTAATCCACTACTTCCTAAACTGTGGGTCCCAACCCCAAATGGGGTCTCTATAGCTCAATGCTGAGGTCACAAAATCAGTTCAAAGCTAAAAGGTTTCTGAACACCACCCAATTACACGAATCTGTTAGCAACAAGATGCAGTTTTGTTATTATGTTTACTTAAACCCCGCTTTCAAATATTAATATTAAAAAGTAAACATTTTAAATCCTTCAAAACTGATTAAAACGTATTCAAAGCAAAATCATCAGCATCCCCAGTGATGCGGTTTTAGTTTTGCGTTTACAGTGGAGAGTTCGATTTACAGAGTCCACTGTTTACAGTGGACTCTGCAGAAAATGTTTTAGCTGTTCTCCACAAAAAGAAAAACCAGCTTGTATAGCAAACCTGGCAAATCCTGGTTTATATATGTTTTATTTGTGTACTTATTTTATATGCCTAAATACCTGGTGTCATGTACAATTTTCAGGGGGCGGGATCATGAGCAGAAAAAGTATAAGAAGCCCTGATATATTCAACATATAGCAGACGGTAGAAAGGACTATTAATTTGAAAGTTCTCTTATTTTCCTTGAGGGAGTCAAGATAAACACATTTGTGCTTGGCAGAAATAATGGAATAGTTTTAGTTTCTCAGTAAACGGTGCTTGTGGAAGTATTCACACATACATCTTCACTTCTCCACACTGGAAATGAAATGAATTGGTGTTCTAACCATTTGAAATACAGAAGCTATTCAATACTGCCATGCATTTGTCTCCAACCATCTTGTCCAGTGTCTTGATAAGTTTCCTAGTCCATGCCGAAAAAAAATATCCCCATAACATGATGCTACCACTAATATGCTTCACTGTGGAGGTGGGTAATGAGCATTTGGGTAATGAGCATTTGGGTTTGTGCCAACCATAATATTTTGCAAGAAGGCCAGAAAGTTCAAGGTTGATCTCAAATTTGTTGTGCATTCCCCATGCCTTTCTGCAAAGAGTAAGCATGTTGATTTTGATTTCTAGTAACTACATGAAGGAGACATCTTTTAAGTCACCCTATCATCAACAGTACTAGGAGCCCCCGGTGGCGCAGTGGGTTAAACCCCTGTGCTGGCAGGACTGAAGACCGACAGGTCGCAGGTTTGAATCCGGGGAGAGGCGAATGAGCTCCCTCTACCAGCTCCAGCTCCTCATGTGGCGACATGAGAGAAGCCTCCCATAAGGATGAAAAAACATCCAATCATCTGGACGTCCCCTGGGCAACGTCCTTGCAGACTGCCAATTCTCTCACACCAGAAGCGACTTGCAATTTCTCAGGTCACTCCTGACACGACAAAAGAAAAAAATCAACCGTACTGATCAAGTCTTACAGCTTCAAGGTGGTGGTTTCCTTGAGGGAGGCCCCATCTACACTGACCATTTAATGCAGTTTGAAGCTAGATTCAAACTGTGGCAGCCATACAATAACTTTCTACTAGCGCACACAAGAGAAAGCCTTTTATCTGCACCAGTACTTTGTGGTTTGTGTCATCATCATCCGAGTCTAACTGGTTTTAGAAATTCTTATGTAATCATCTATACAGCGAAACCACTTTCTTCAATATGTGTTTGAAACTGCATTACATGCTCAGTGCTGAATCTATCCATACATAACGTGATACTTCTGTTTGCTGCCTTTTTATCAAGCAATCTTTTCTAGTAAATCATTTATTCTCATGATATGTCAAAAATATTATACCCCATGGTTTTAATAGTACCACATTCAAATGTGTTGATTTTCTTCCTATTAGAACTTCTTCACTGTCTAGCTGTCAGAACCGTACACAGACAACTGGAAATACAACGGCACGGACAATCCTAACTTCTGTAACCAATGGATCATTACAATGCAGGATCTTGCCTTGTTCTTTCACAGCTGCCCTCCCACCAACAAACTCTGGGGCCTTCCAGCAAAAGCTGTACTTAATCTGAGATTATGTGGCACTGAACTTGACACTTAGGTGATTTCTGAGTAGATTGTGCCAGAACAAAGGGGATTAATAGTAATATTTATTCCAGGTATTACAAATTGTGGAAAAGTTGAAGGCACTGCAGATCCAGGTTGTAACTCCCAAACTGGGACACTTAAGGTTGCATACAAAGGCTAACTTCTATCATCACAAAACCAGGCTTAAAGTGTGAGTTTCATGCCATATTGGGACTACAACAGGATTTCTTGGCATTAATATTAACACAGCCTTCCTAAGACCCTGTGAGTTCTTTGCCCCACTCCTTGCTCCCATTTGGATACATGGCTCATCCAAACAGAGTGTAAAACGCCAACATCTATTTACTCTCTTTGAGAGAATCCTCGTTCTCTTGTGTGGATTAATTCTGGTAAATTGGAAGCATTTGTGGTGTAGAAGCCTGGGGTGCATCTGTACTGTAGAATAAATGCAGTTTGGCGCCACTTTTAACTGCCATGGCTCAATGCTATGGAATCCAGGCATTTGTACTTTGGCCAGGTACCTGCCAATTCAGTACAGCCTTTATAAAACTTTGTCTCCCACAATTCCATAGCACTGAGCTAGATAGTTAATATGAATTAATGAGACTTGTATATTCCTCCTTATCTCCCCAGTGGGAGCAGCTTACAACATATAGAGAGGAAAACATTCAATCTACATAAATAAAAATGTAATGTTCGTTTGTAGGATTAACATAACTCAAAAACCACTCGACGAATTGCCGCCAAATTTGGCCACAAGACACATAGTCAATCCAAGGAGTGACTATCACTCAAAAAATTGATTTTGTCATTTGGAAGTTGTTGTTGCTGGGATTTATAGTTCACCTACAATCAAAGAACATTTTGAACTCCACCAATGATAGAATTGAACCAAACGTGGCACACAAGACTCCCATGACCAACAGAAAACCAACCCCCAGAGTTGGACACGACTCGACTTAATATTTAGTGGAACACTTTACTTTACCAGAATATTATACTATTAGTATTATACAATATAGTGTACTATATCACAAGTTGTAGTATATATAATATACAATGTATTGTATTACAACATTATTAATATTATATATAATACTAGCTATCCCCTGCCACGCGTTGCTGTGGCCCAGTCTTGTAATCTGGAAAATAAAGTAATGAGAAAGTGTTGGTTTGTAATATAATAATAATAATAATGAACTTTATTTATACCCCGCCACCATTTCCCCAATGGGGACTCGGGGCAGCTTACATGTGGCCAAGCCCAAACAACAATTACAGCAAAATAAAACCGAAAACGCAAACAATAAACAACAACATAATTACATAAAACATATGAATGCATAACAATATAAAATTATAATAAACACAATATATGTCATTTCTTTATGCTTGTGGGTAAACAGTATCTGATTACGTTTTCTTGCCCAGGTGAAGGGAGTTGGACTGGATGGCCTTAAGTATTTTCTGTTGGTCTTGGGAGTTCTGTATGGGAAGTTTGCCCCAATTCAGTCGTTGGTGGAGTTCAGTATGCTCTTTGAGTGTAGGTGAACTAGAAATCCCAGCAACTGTTACTCCCAAATGTCAAGGTCTATTTCCCACAAACTCCATCTATATTCATATTTGTGCATATGGAATATTTGTGCAAATTTGGTCCAGATCCATCATTGTTTGAGTCCACAGTGCTCTATGGATGTAGGTGAACTACAACTCCCAAACTCATGGTCAATGCCCACCAAACCCTTCCAGTGTTTTCTGTTGGTCAAGGGAGTCCTGTGTGCCACAATTGATTCAATTTCATCATTGGTGGAGTTCAGAATGCTCTTTGATTGTAGGTGAACTATAAATCCCAGCAACTACAACTCCCAAATGACAAAATAATGTTTTGAGTGATTCTCATTCCTTGAGTGAGTAGGTGCCTTGTGGCCAAATTTGGCTGCAATTTGTCCAGTAGTTTTTGAGTTCTGTTAATTCCACAAATGAACATTACATTTTTATTTATGGACTAGCCGTCCCCTGCCCGCGTTGCTGTGGCCCAGTCTGGTTATCTGGAAAATAATGAGAACGTCTTTGTTTCTAATAAATGTAACTTCTTTGTGCTTGTGAGTAAACAGTATTTCTTGTTGTTTCTTTGTCAGTGTTGATGTTGAGATTGTCTGCCTACTCTGGAACATGCAACATATAATTGTCCTTCTTTAGTGATCCCTTTCAAATCTATGATACTATAACCGTGGGTGTGTGAATCATATATAGCTAATCTATATCTGTGGCTGAATGGCTCTTTGTCAGGAGGGCTCCTCTGATTACGTTTTCTTGCCCTGGTGAAGGGAGTTGGACTGGATGGCCTTAAGTATTTTCTATTGCTCATGGGGGTTCTGTGTGGGAAGTTTTCCCCAATTCTGTCATTGGTGGGGTTCAGAAAGCTCTTTGATTGTAGGTGAACTAGAAATCCCAGCAACTACTCCTCCCAAATGTCAAGACCTATTTTCCCCAAACTCCATCTATGTTCATATTTCAGCATATTGAGTATTTGTGCCAAGTTTGGTCCTGATCCATCATTCTTTGCCCTACACCACTGGAGAAATTACACTGCTTAGCTGGTATCGCACCACTTGACATCCGCCGGGAAATAGCAGCCAATAGTGAAAGGACTAAGGCAGAGACATCTCCAGCTCATCCCGTTTGGGTATCAGCCAGCACGTCAACGACTTAAATCTAGATATAGTTTTCTAAGATCTACAGAGACACTCGCTGGAACACTTCAGCAAGCGAGAGTCCAAAAGTGGCAGGCTCAAACCCAGAACCTCAACCAATGGCTGATACCAAATGAGAGACTCCCCCCTGGGCACACAGAGGACTGGGCGACTTGGAAGGCGCTGAACAACTGCGCTCTGGCACCACGAGGTGCAGAGCCAACCTTCAGAAATGGGGCTACAAAGTGGAATCCTCGACATACAAATGTGGAGAGGAGCAAATCACAGACCACCTGCTGCAATGCAACCTGAGCCCTGCCACATGCACAATGGAGGATCTTCTTGCAGCAACACCAGAAGCACTCTAAGTGGCCAGATACTGGTCAAAGGACATTTAATCAACTACCAAACTCACAAATTTTGTATTATGTCTGTTTGTTTGCTTTGTTCTGTTAGAAATGTAATATAATTGACTGGCTGTCCTGACACGAAATAAATAAAAATCATTTTTGAATCCACAGTGCTCTCTGGGTGTATGTGAACTACAACTCCCAAACTCAAGGCCAATGCCTATCAAACCCTTCCAGTATTTTCTGTTGGGCATGGCAGTCCTGTGTGCAACATTTGGTTCAATTCTATCATTGGTGGAGTTTAGAATGCTGTTTGATTGTAGGTGAACTATAAATCCCAGCAACTACAACTCCCAAATGACAAAATCATTTTTTTTGAGTGATAGTCACTCCTTGGATTAGTAGGTGTCTTGTGGCCAAATTTGGTGTTATGTTTGAGTTATGTTAATCCCACAAAAGAACATTACATTTTTATTTATACAGACAGACAGAAGATAGATAGATAGATAGATAGATAGATAGATAGATAGATAGATAGATAGATAGATAGATAGATAGATAGATAGATAGATAGATAGATAGATAGAAAGAAGATATTAGTATTGGGCCATGGCAGTTCACATGGCTTCAAACTACATTCATTCTACAATGTGGGCGCAGGTCTGACCAGTGAGCAGCACAGGAGGAAGTCCCTTTAAGGAGCGAGGAGAGGAGGGAGGAGAGCTCGCGCATGCGCAGATTCCCCCTTGCTGGTCCCTTTTTCCGCCATTTTGCCCTCCTGAGCGCGCGGCGGGAGACACATGGTGGGCGTGGCCTCCTTCGTCCCGACGTTCTAAGTCTTCGTCTCTTCTGGGCTGGCTGCTGTTTGACTTCATTCGAGGCCTGTGCCCACTCCTGGGATGTGGGTTTGAGCAGCAGCAGAAGAGGAGGAGGAGCCCCTGGGAGATATACAGAGGAACCTTGCCAGACTGTGAGGGACCAAAGCAAGTGGGCGGAGTCCCAAACTCGAGGCCTCCAGGTGACAATGAGACTTCCAAGTTCCAGCCTTCGCCAGGGTTTCTGGGAGCTGACATCTAAAACACCTTGAGGAACAAAGTTTGAGGGGAAAACACTGATGCCACATTGTAGAATTGATGCAGTTTGATATCACTTTACTATGGAACTCTGGGAGTTGTAGTTTGGGGAGGCACCAGCTTTCTTTGGCAGAGGAGGGGATGCTCAGGTCACTTTCCTTAGGCTTCAGTTGCATTAGGAGAACTGAGGGTGCATCTACACCAGGCATGGGCCAACTTGGGCCCTTCAGGTGTTTTGGACTTCCAACTCCCACCATTCCTAACAGCCTCAGGCCCCTTCCTTTTCCCCCTCAGCCGCTTAAGTGAAAGGAAAAGGAAAGGGCCTGAGGCTGTCAGGAATTGTGGGAGTTGAAGTCCAAAACACCTGGAGGGCCCACGTTGGCCCATGCCTGATCTACGCTGTTGAGTTAATGCAGTTTGAAACACCTTAATGACTATGCCTTGATGCTGTGGAAGTATGGGAGTTATAGTTTGGTGAGGCACGAGTAGCTTTTGGCAGAGAAGGCTGAAGAGCTTGTAAAACTACAACCCCCTACAGCATTAAGCATTAAGACAGTCAAAGAGGTGTTAAGCTGCATTAATTCTACAGTGTAGATGCACCAGTGCCATACTGAGCAAATGTCTAGTACTGAGTGTTGGCTGAGGTCGAAAACATCTTGAGGAAAGTGATGATAAACCCCTTTTATATTACTCCGGAGGTGTATTTTCCTGTTATTTGTATTCTAAGGGCCCTTCCACACAGCCCTATATCCCAGAATATCCGGCAGAACATCCCACAGTGTCTGCTTTGCACTGGGTTATCTGAGTCCACACTCAGATAACGTGGGATTTACTGCCTTGATTTTCTGGGGGCCCTTCCACCCAGCCCTATATCCCAGATTATCAAGGCAGAAAATCTCACAATATCTGATTTGAACTGGGTTATCTGAGTCCACAGTCAGATAATGTGGGATTTTCTGTCTGTATATTCTGGGATATAGGGCTGTGAGGAAGGGCCCTAGGTTTGATCAAATTTATCTGTAGAATCATACAATTGGAGGAGACCCCAAGGGCCATCCAGTCCAACCCGCTGCCATGCAGCAACACACAATTGAAGCATTCCCAACAGATGGCCATACAATCTGTTTAAAAACCTCCAGAGAAGGAGATCCACTACACCAGTGGTCTCAACTTGTGGGTCCCCAAATGTTTTGGGGCCCTTCCACACAGCCATATAACCCAGAATATCAAGGCGGAAAATCCCACAATATCTGTTTTGAACTGGGTTAGCGGAGTCCACACTGCCATATCTCCCAGTTCAAAGCAGGTAATGTGGGATTTTATTCAGCTGTGTGGAAGGGGCCATGCATGGCCTTCAACTCTCAGAAATTCTAATAGTTGGCAAACTGGCTGGGATGTGGCATGCAGAAAGGGACATATTTTCATATATGGTGGGAATGCCCCCAGCTGAAGAGTTTTTGGAACAATATATTTATGGAAATAGGTAACATTATAGGACTAAACATCACCCCGGATGCTAGGTTAGCATTACTAATGGAAAAGAAAGAATGGGTGATTATTTTACTCACAGTGGTGAGATTTATAATGGCAAAGAATTGGAAGATAGTAACCAATCTCACACTGGAAGCATAGTATGGGGAGGTATGGAATGTAGTCTTAAATGACAAACTATCAATTGAAACAAGGGTGTTCAGGGGGAAAATTAAAAGATCAGAATTTGATTCATATTGGTTGGTTTTTATTAGATATATTTTAAAGAGTGAGAAGGAAAAACAATACAACCTTGTTGGTCAGAAATTTTGGATATGATATTTGTTTACTAGTTGACTCATAAATGTATGGCAAAGGGCCATGGTGGTGGGGTTATGTGTTTGTAAAATGTTCAGTGTTTCGTGTTCTGTTTAAATTGTAAGTTGTTAATGTATGTAAATTATATATATATATCTATATATAAAATAAATAAACTGGCTGGGATTTCTGGGAATTGTAGGCTAAAATCCCTGGGACCCACAGGTTGAGAACCACTGCACTACACTCCAAGGCAGTGCATTCCACTGTCAAAAAGCAAGTACCATCACCCACCGTAAGCTGGAAGGAAATATTTATTAATTTATGAAATGTGTACCTCGCCTTTCCCTAAGCAAGGGCCCAAGATGGCTTACAGCCCATAAAAACACAATATAAAAATTAAGAACAAATTCAAACCCTAAACCTTAGCAAGTGCTGTTCAACCCTTATTAAAACCCCAACGAAATAGATAAAACCACACTGATACAACATAACGGATTCAAATGGCCTTCTTAACCTTTGGATATCATGATGATATTAGATTGAACCTCAGATTCTACCTGAAGCCTTTGGCTATATTCATCCCTTTATCTCATGCTTCCTGAAGTTCTACAGTGGTTAACTACCCCACTTCGGGTTTCCATACTGGAAGAAAGGCAGGCCATAAAAAAAACCTTTTTATTCAGGCAGATGTTTAAAGATGAAGGTTTTTAAGATCAAGTCAAGGGGTGCTGTGGTTTTAGCTCTGAATATGTTTTTAAGCCATTTTATGGATTTGTACTGTTAATTTCTTAAGATAGTTGAATTCTGTTTTACTGTTTGTATATTTGTGGATTTTAAATTGAATTGAAATGCTTTAAATGTAAGCTGCTTTGAGTCTCCTTTGTGGGGAGAATAAATGGGGTATAAATATAATAGTAAACATGTTGATAATAAAACAATCACAATTCTGAAAAAGTTACAAAAATGAGCACGTCAAACTACTCTGGGACTTCAGAATTCAGACTGACAGAATTTTGAGCCCAATACTTTTGACCTTATGATTATGGAAAAAAACAATGTATGGATGATTGACGTTGCGATCCCAAGTGACTGAAGAATTGACAAGAAGCAACTGGAAAAGCTTACATGATAGAACTGCAAAGACTCTGGCACAAGCCAGTAAAGGTGGTCCCAGTGGGTGCAATGCCTAAAGACCTTGGCCTGCACTTAAAAACAATCGGTGCTGACAAAATTACCATCTGTCAGCTGCAAAAGGCCACCCTACTCGGATCTGCATGCATTATTTGCTGATACATCACACGCTTTGGAAGTGTCTGACCTGTGATTGAATACAAAAACCACCATAATGATGTTGTTTGCTGTGTACTGATCTTGTTGTGTATCTAATACTGTAATAATAATAATAATAATAATCCCTACCTCAATTTAAAAACCATTCTGCTTAATACCTAGTACCAGGTAGTACTGGAGTTTTTTTGTCCCAGATGTACAGCTTTTGTTTACCCTAGGAGTGATACAATCTTGACTCAGGTGTCCTGACCTCAACTTTGATTTGATCACATCAGGTGTTGTGGAAAGAAGGGGGTGCTGATTCGCTCCAATGTCTTGACACTTAACCTAAACTCCTGGTTTTATAAACTTTTTATTCTTCATTTTAGGTTCTGCCAAAATGTATGGGGACTCGGATTGCAACAATAAAGGTATATGTACCAAGAGAATCAAGTTTTATTTTCTGAGTATTGAAATACATAAATTGAGTCCAATTCTTTTTTGCCCACAGTTGAATGTGTAATATGCTGTCATGTGGACGATGCCATAACATTTTGGGCACAGGTAAGGTCAGAATCATGGGTTTCTGAATAAAATTGGAGTAACTGAAGCCCTGGGAGTTTGATCCAAGCTAGAATTGTCCTTAGTGATTAAACTTGGTAAAAGCACATCTTTAGCTATAGTCTTAAAAGCATTTTTGTATTGGCCGTGCATCCTTCAAGTAATTTGCATAAAAGCCTTTTCGTCAGAGCATTGCCTTTTGATTTTAACTTGTGCTGTTTCAGAATATTAATATACAGAATGAAATGGTGAAGATCAGCTATGACCTAGCCACCATCTGTCCTCAAGCCAGCCCAGTTTTTGGCAGCCCTGATCTTGCGAAGGTAGGTTTGTGTTTCTGTGTTTATGCAAATACCATAGCTAATTTCTAAGTGCATTTTTATCCTACCATCCTACCAACACACACTATAGAGTGTGCATGCAGCTTTCTTCTTCCTCACATTATTCTCACAACAGCCCTGTGAGGCAGGACATGTTGAAAGTTTCATGGCTTAATGGAGGCTTGGATCTGAATCTCCCAAAGTTTTTCATCCTAGTTTTTCAACCAGGGTCTCCTAGGTTTACATGAGAGGTCAGTAGGTCCCAAAAGTTAACTGTATCCAGTAATCATCTCCCTTGAATCTATAATTTGCTGATAGACTTGTGCATTGTATGTTTTTACCCTATTTCCCCTTCCGCTCCCTCTCCCCTATTGTGCTTCAGTATTTATATTTTAATGTACTAAACATGCTAAGTTTGTATGAAACTGTGCTGGTCTATGACTAAATTTGATTTGATTTGGTGAGAGGTCACTAGGTGTTCTGTGTGAGGTTGTGATTTAAAATAATGACTTTAAGGGTTTCTTTGAGACTCAAAAATTATTTCAAGAATTCCTCCAGGGTAAAAAAAAAAAAAGTGGAGAAAGCCTGTTCTAGTATTACATCTAACATATGCCATTTTAAAATCTACACTTCTTAGAATATGAATTTTGAAAGTTCATTTGAATTAAATTGTGTGTGTCTTTGATTTCTTTTCATATGACAGCCCTGTCTGGCACTTCAGCTTTCAGAGCAGGACACTATGCTGCCTGGGATAAATGGGATATTCCACTGGGCTTGGGTACAACTCACGAGATGCTAACAGCACTTCATTTCTTTCTGTGCTCTCTTTTCTCTGAGAACTATGTGATGTTCGTGGATGCTTGCTGAGCAAAGGGATGAAAATACCAATTACAACTTCTGCTACTACTGTATCTCAGAGACAGAGACAGCTCTCTTCCTGAAAGCATTGGAACAGAAGAGATAGGATCATATGTACACGTCTGGTTCTTGTCTTGTATCTTTTGATGATCAGATAATCTCAGCAGGGGGGTCTCTGAATTCACGTTACAAGACAAGTTGAGGGGTGAAATACTCTTTGAGGAACAGACACAGGAATTCGTGTTGAGCCTTTGAAATCACCGCTTTTTTGAGAATGATCATATTCAAGAGTAGACGTTTTTGGCCACGTTGCAAACTACATCAATATTCAAAACCCACAAAAGAGTGGCAACCAAAATGTACAAAATACATAATGCAAGCTTTCAAAGCTTCACACTGGTTTCTGTATTGGACAAACATATTAAACATTATAAAGGATAACAGCAGCAACAACAACAACAGTAATATGTTGTTAAAGGCTTTCATGGTTAGAATCACTGGGTTGCTGTGAGTTTTCCGGGCTGTATGGCCATGTTCCAGAAGCATTCTCTCCTGATGTTTTACCCACATCTATGGTAGGAATCCTCAGAAGTTGAGGGATCTGTTGGAAGCTAGACAAGTGAGGTTTATAGATCTGTGGAATGTCCAGGGTGAGAGAAAGAACTCTTGTCTGCTTGAGGCAAGTGTGAATGTTTCAATTGGCCACCTTGATTAGCATTTAATGCCCTTGCAGCTTCAAAGCCTGGCTGCTTCCTGCCTGGGGAATCCTTTGTTGAGAGGTGTTAGCTGGCCCCGATTGATTTTTGTCTGGAATTCCCCTGGTTTTTGAGTGTTGCTCTTTATTTACTGTCCTGTTTTTAGAGTTTTTAAAAAACTGGTAGCCAGATATTGTTCATTTTCATGGTTTTCTCCTTTCTGTTGAAACTGTGAATTTCAATGGCTTCTCTGTGTATTCTGACATAGTAGTTGTTAGAGTGGTCCAGCATTTCTGTGTTCTCAAATAGTATACTGTGTCCAGGATAGTAAATAAAGAGCAACACCCAGGCAGCAGTCAGCCAGATGCTGGACTACTAAAGGAGTAGTCCAGCATCTGCAGGACCACATAAAATTACATGACTGGCTGGATTTGGCCCACACACCTCGAGTTTGACACATGTGAGATAGATTGATTGGCAGCTTTATACTATTGTGTAAATCAGTCAAACATTTATGAAATTGTCTGAATTTGTTCTGATCTGCAGATCTATGGAGGATGCTTTTCCGAAGATAAGTGCTGGTACAGATGTAAAATACTGCAGGTTGTCAATGATGAAAAGGTAAGATACACTTTCTGAATGGATAGCTATGTGGTTTTCTTTTCTTTATAACTTTGAAAATACAGTCTGTACAATTGGTGCAGCTACTTTAAAAAAACCTTTTGGCTTTTGAATTCAAATCATAGTTGATAATGTCATTCATGTCCATGATTTCAAATTGTCTTGTCCTTGTTAAAGCACTATTCAATATGTATATGAATTTGTTTAAATAGGATACAGAGCACTTCAGTAAAAAATACAGAATTAACTATTAGTTTTAGGCTCATTACTTTTTATTTATCATGGTTGGATCTCAGCACAGATATAAGAGAAGTTTTGCTTCCTGTGTCATAAAAACATATAACAGCAGAAGTTGATACAAATTGTAGTCTGAACTATCCTGTACACAAAACGACCATTCAGCATAGTCACTATCAATTTGTACACATTTTACAATCGTTTAATCCAGGCATCAAAACCATTTTGATGTCTCTTTCAAAGGTCCAAAAAGTCAACTTACATGGTTTCAGATTCAGTGACTTGAATGATGTTAAATAATCTTTAAAATCATGGGTCACAAAGCAAAACCCTGAATTTTTCAAAAATGGTTTTGATGCCTGGTTAAACAATGTGTACAAATTCATATTGACTATGTTGAACAGTCGTTTTGTGTAGAGGATAGTTCGGACTATGATCTCTAGCAACTTCTGGTGCTATATGCTCATTCATAATGTTTTTATGACACAGGAGGCAGAACTTGTTGACCCACCCTCGTATAATCTTTATTAGAAAACAAAAAAATATTTTGCTGGTCCATGTTGAAAAACTAAAAACACACAGTTGGGGATACTTTTATTGAGACCTGCTTCATACCATAAAATAATGTACAAACCTTTAGGTTTTCCCAGACATCTTATACAGAAATTAGGATTTGGAAGAATGCAGAAAACTCACTATAAATTAATTCAGATGTGGATGTCACGAGGCCTTCATTTTATATTTAGGTAGAAATTGTGGATAGCATGAACTGGTTATTACAGGTCGAGCATCTTATCCAGAATTCTGAAAAATTCCAAATTCTGGAGTTGTCCACATTAAGTGGTTAAGATAGTGACTGCTTGGCTTTCTGATGGCTCAGCATGCACAAACATTACACATATTGTGTATGAAATTACCTTCAGACTGCATGTGTGCAGTATATAAAACAAATGAATTTTATGTTTTGACTTTAGTCATATCTTCAAGATACTTCATTATGTATGCGGATACAGATTCAAATTCCTGAACGCCTCTAACCCCAAGTATTTCAGATTAGGAATAGTCAACCTGCACTAGTTTATGCAGTTTTGAAATTAAACCTGAGATTCTGGGACAAGGGGTATGTGCAGGTGCAATTCCAACAATAGACAGAGTATAGGGATTTTAACTTTAAAGATCCCACCCGCTGTCACCAATTGTACAGACTGTTCTTAAATTCTGCCACCAATTATACAGGTGTGGATGATTATGGATGTAATTAATCTCAGGCCTCAATTGTGTATAAGAATTTATTATAGGGGAGGCCAATTATTATTTATAAATTAAGGTAACTGCCACCAACGTGAGGTATTGGAGGTACTACCGATGAGATCTGGCTCCACAGATGCAGATTAATGGAGATGAGACGGTCTTCAACAAAAGTTAACAAGTTTATTACGTACAAAGCGTATGGTTGCAGGCTGTTAAATAACTTTGAATAACTTATAGAACTTTGAATAACACTTGGTTTGCAATACAGTCCACTCTTCTAGATGACACAACTTGTGATTAACTTTTACTGAGGTGAAGCACTTTAATAAACAATGTTTCCTAATGTGAATAGCCTTCCAATTTGATCTTTTCTTGATCAAATCCCTGATCTCTAGTCCTTCCCTGACTAGTGATCTTAACGAGCTTCCTTTAGTCTACTTCAACTAAAGAAAYTGGCTAGGTTTCTCCCTTCAGCCTTCCTAGACTGAAAAACCTCCAGCTATTCACACACACTGCTCTCTCAGGCTGTTCAAGCCTCACTCTCCACACACACTCTCAGCTGCCAACTGCCTCTTTTCCAAAGAYGCACAAAACATTTTCTACTTGGCTCCGCCCACTTCTCACTCTCCTGCCTGGTCTCCTTGGCAACCTCACTGCATTCAAACCACTTAACTCTAGTTTTAGCTACTGTTACCAACTCAAATATATTCTAACAGTTAAACATATACATAGTATCAATGACTTCTGCATAGTATCAATGACTTCAGCACCTTCAACAACRTATTGAAGGTGCTGAACAGACTGTGATCTGATACGAGATGTAGAGCCAATCTTGAGTCCATGACATGCGAGTGTGGAACAGAAGCTGGCCACTTGGAGTGCCTCTGGTGTCGCTGTGAGAAGGTCCTCCATTGTGCATGTGGCAGGGCTCAGACTGCATTGTAGTAAGTGGTCTGTGGTTTGCTCTTCTCCACACTCGCATGTCATGGACTCAAGATTGGCTCTGCATCTCGTATCAGATCACAGTCTGTTCAGCACCTTCAAAGTTGCCCAGTCTTCTGTGTGCCCAGGATGGAGTTTCTCATCTGGCCTCAGCCACAGATTGAGGTTCCAGGTTTTAGCCTGCCACTTTTGGACTCTCGCTTGCTGAGGTATTCCTGCAAGTACCTCTGTAGATCTTAAAAAGCTATGTCTTGATTTAAGACATTGGTGTGCTGGATAACATCCAAACAGAGGTTGGGCCAGAGATACCACTGCTTTGGCCCTTTCATTATCGGCTGCTACTTTCCAGCAGATGTCAGGTGGTGCAATACCAGCTAAACAGTATAATTTCTCCAGTGGTGTAGGGCATAGACATCCTATGATAATATGGCATGGCTCATTAAGAGCCACATCCACTGTTTTAACATGGTGAGATGTATTTCATGCTGGGCATGTGTATTCAGCAGCAAAGCAGCAAAGTGCAAGGGCAGGTGTCTTCACTGTCTCTGGTTTTGATCCCAGGTTGTGATCCACCAGAAGTGACTTGCAGCATATAGTTTGGTGAGGCACCAATACGCTGGCAGAGAAATCTAAAGGTTGTTAAACTACAATTCCCATGATTCTATAGCATCGAGCCATGACAGTCAATGTGATGTAAAACTGCATTAATTCTATAGTGTAGATGCACCCAAAGAAGCAGTGGTTAACCCCATTCCTGAAAACATCAAGGTTTGCTGTTACCAATTTCTCTCTCTTTCCTTTGGGGGACAAAGACAAATTCCCAAGTAGACAGAGAGCAGAAGTATGTTCACACAGATACAGTTGGCCCTACATATCTCTGAATTCTGTATCCACAGGATCAACTAACCACAACTCTAAAACATTTGGGAAAAATCATCTGTAGCCTTCCACCATTTCAGAGATCCTTCCTTGTTTTGAGTTATTTGGCATTTTCTGTAAGCAACACCATTGTATTGTGTCATTATATATAATGAGACTTGAGCTTTCATGAATTTTTGTATTAGTAAAGAATCCTGGAACTAAGCCTCAGTGGATCCTGAGGACCAGCTGTATATATAAATAGTCTCATTTATATCTTTTCCTATATCACAATATACCAATTTGATATTTTTTAAAACTGATTTTTCACGATAGAGGGTACATTTTGCTAATCCTTGTTACATAGTTCTTCCTCATCATGTTCAACTGAATGCATTACAAATTAATTTTGAGTAAACATTGGATGCAATTGGGTTGCTGTGAGTTTTCTGGGCTTTGTGACCTTGTTCCAGAAGCATTCTCTCCTGACGTTTCACCCACATCTATGGCAGGCATCCTCAAAGCAACCCAGTGATTCCGTTCATGTAACCTTCAACAACATATTGGATGTAACTGTTAAAACTGTATTGTATAATTTTCTTTTCCATTTTATTATTTCAGTGCCAGGTATTATATATTGACTATGGGAACTCTGAAATTCTCGTTCGATCAGAAATAGTAGAACTTCCAGAAAACTTGCAGTTTCCTAGTGTGGCAAAGAAATATAGATTGTGGGGATTACAGATGCTTGTTAATCACGATGTAAATCAGTTTGACCAGGTGAGTAAGATATCTCGCCTACCATATATACTTACTTTAATCTGCATTTTAACTCTGTGTATTTTGTGTTTCAGTCGTGTTTTATCTCTTTGTTTTACCAATGTTGTACCCCTCCTTGAGCCACAAGGAGAGGTGGGTAATAAATGTATTGTTATTACTACTACTGCTTCTGTTACGCCTCAGAGAGGAGAGAGGAAGAGAGAGTGCCTGCATTTTCCAACAATTTCCATTTCGGCTTTTAACAGTATTGGGTAAAACCAGTGCAATTTTTCAGGATTTTCTTTTTGTTATCTATTTTTATTTTTATTGCAAGATTGTAAAAATTACATTAAAAGTTTACAAAGAGAATCAATATAAGAAGTATAGAATAGAAACACACAAGTGCAAAGGAAAAGAAAGAAAAGAGAAAGGAACATAAAAAAGAAGAAAGAATAGAAAAAAAGTAGTTGACATCCAATCTGTCTTCAGCTACTAAGAATACCATAGGCATGACCCTTCAGTGTTGACTCTTTTCTCAAGCAAAAACAGGATTTTCTGTAGGAGTGAGATTTGGAAACAGTTTTGTTTTTTCAAACAAAGCAAAAAAGCAAAAAGCATGTCCCCATTTAATAAATAGATAAATAATTTAAACTATATATTACAGTTTCAAATGTATACACATGGTGTTCACCACAACTGGATGTTGTATTAGGAAATCTGGACATTTCTTCCAGGACTGGACGATGTTCCTCTAGGAGTTTAGCTGCCAGGGGTGAAATGAGGGCATTGCCCCAAATAAGAATTCTGTTCCGCTTGAGATTTTTTCTTCCTTCCCTAGATTTCTAACATTACAGAAAGTGAAGCACTGGAAATAACTCAGGACCTAGAGTTATTTCATTAACTGTGGTCTCATCACCTTGGTAACTTTTCTTGCCCATGTTAGGCTCTTAATGAGACATGCCGCATTATCACAGGATGTCTGCGCTCCACACCACTGGAGAAATTACACTGTTTAGCTTGTATTGCACTACCTGACATCTGTAGCGGCCAGCAATGAAAGGACCAAGGCATTGACATCTCCAGCCCATCCTCTGTTCAAATATCAACCAGTATGCCACCGCCTTAAATCAAGAATCAGTTTTGCAACATCTAGAGATACTTGCAGGAACACCATAGCAAACAAGTGTCCAATAGTGGCAGGCTAAAATCCAAAACCTCAGTTAGTGGCTGAGACTGGATGAGACATTTCCTTCTGGGCACACAGAAGAGTGCACAACCTGGAATGCGCTGAACAGGTGTGTTGTGGTGCCACAAGATGCAGAGCTAACCTTAAGAAATAGGGCTACAAAGTGGAGTCCATGACATGCGAGTCTGGAGAAGAGCAAACCACAGACCATCTACTACAATGCAACCTGAGCGCTGCTACATGCACAATGGAGAACCTTCTCACAGCAACACCAGAGGCACTTCCAAGTCTCCAGCTTCTGGTCAAAGGACATTTAGCATAATGCCAAGTTCTTTTTTTAAAAATTATTTGTATTTTTAAATGCATTTTAACTGTATCCTCAACTTGTTCAGGACAAGATAAACAAATATGCCATGTTTTTCAATGCTCAGTGGATGTTTAAAGTTTTCACAATTATATTGAATTGATGACTGAAGGCAAATGCCATTAGGTTCAGGCAGGATGTATATTTGTGGGGTCGATGATTTTGGATTATGTGGTTTTATAATTGGTTTTATGTTAAGATGTTTGTAATTTTTATAGTTTTAATATATATGTTTATTTTATTGTAAGTTCTGAATATGCAGCATTGAATTATTGCCTACTTGTAAGCCGTTCTGAGTCTCCTTCGTGGTGAGAAGGGCGAGGTATAAATATAGTAAATAAATCTATGTCCCAATTTCTCCTACCGTTGTATTCTTTCTTGATCTGCAGTTATTTGATTTTTCAGTTTGGAATAAATTTCATTCTCATTCTCATTATGCTTTTGCACTTTTTTTTACAGGGCCGGAAGTTTTTGAATAGCTTGATTACATCCAAAGAGATGATGACAAGATACAAAGCCACTGCTCAAGATGGTGCCATTTTGGTCCATGCAGAGTGTGGCCTATTGGATGTGGGGGAGGAAATAGCCAAGAAAGGATTTGCCAAAAGATGCACATCTCCCACAAACATGGATGTGGAAAAGGATTTTTCTTCATATAAGCTCAGGATGAATGCCAACTCTCCAGCTTTAAACCCTCCTGTGAAAGGCAACAGCCCGATAAAAGGAGGCTTTGGAGACTACGCTGTATCTCAGAATAGTAGCAATGAGAACGGTAATAGAAACCGTGTGCCGTTAACAAAGTAAGTGGGAAAGGAGCAGATAACATTTTTGAAGAATGAGTAAGAATTCTATATGATGGATGCTTTTAAGGAGTGGTGAGATTGAATTGTTGCAAATCATGACTTTTTTGGATTGAGCAGTTTAGGCTGCAGATGACACAGCTGTATTCCTGAAGATTCACATAAATTTAACACAATGGCACATGGGAAAATAGACTCAATCCATTTTGACATGCTTATGGTTCCCATGTCTTTAGCTTATAGTTGTACTGTGTAGGAAGGTCTTTATTGCTACAGTTTACTGGATGTCCACTCTCATATCAGTTCAGATAATTGTTTTAAAGCCTACTGGTGACATTTGTTGGTGAATCTTGCCTTTGTTTTTCAGTTGGGAGAAAACGACGCCTCCTGGCTTTAGAAGATTGTCAAACACTAGCCTAGACAAAATGAAACAAAATCAGAAACTAATGGAGGAGATTGAAAAGCTAAATGAGGAGAAACAGGCTATCAGAGAGGAAAACAAGAAGCTGGAATCAAAAATTCAGAAGCTTTCTAATGATTTAGAGGTATGTTGTTGCATCTCAAAAACTATTTAACCAGTAGGCTAGTGAGCCTGCGTAAAGACCCTAAAGACACCAGATTCTGTCTGATCCTGAAAGCTAAGCAGGATCGTTCCTAGTTAGTGCTTGCATGTGAGACAGTGAAAAACACCTTGTCTACACTGATAAACATATCATACACATCTTGTAGTTGCCTTGATCTTTACTCACAACATATGACCCCTTTGAGAATGAAAGCGGGCCTGTTAGGCTGTATTGGGATATACCAAAACGGACTTCTTGCTCCATAGTTTCCACAAGGATCTGATCCGTTGCTGTGTTTTGCTACACATGTACAGTCTAAATCAGCCTGACTTTGGGAGAAAAGGGTGGGACAGGTTGCTGGGTGGCAAATATCATCATTTCCATTTACATGTTCACTCCTCCTTGCAAGGGCAAATACTGCAATATTACACGCACCTTTAATTTTTGTGAATACCACAATATCTGCTCAGAAGGGAGACAGACAGTCTATCCTTGAGTAAGCAAATGGAGGCCCACTCTCCCTCCTATCCCTTTGCATTCTCTCTCAACTGCATGGGAGTCAGAGAAGAGGAGAGGAGAATAGCTTCCTCCTGGGTAAACTGCTCAAATGTTGCTAATTCAAATTATGGGTGTGGACAGTAATACAATTTCAGTGCAGTTTATTACAGGTAGGTGTGGCACTAATGAGTGGGATTCAAATAGGGCTGAATAATCTGAATTACAGCTGAGTTATTTTGGTGACAAACCCTACACAAACGGTTTTAATAGTGACTTGGCATCCACAGGAATGATTTGTAGTAGTCTTGTGCATTTGTATAGAATCACTATCTGATTCTGTTTGTTTCATTCATAAGACCCTGTTTTTGTTTTTGAGCGCATCTCCCTAAAACGGGCGCCTTTCCAAATGAGCTTTTTTTTGTCTCAGGTCTGAAAAAATGAATATTTTTGTCCCATTGCCGTGGCTTCCCATGTTACTCTTCTCATGTGGCTTCCCATGTTACCCTTCTCGGTTTTAGGGTTAGAGGGGTAAAACTAGCCAGCTGTCCCACCATTTCTCCCTGCTGTTTCCCCCTTCAATTGGGAAAGCTACCTTATGCCACTGCTGAGGCGTCTTCATCGGAGCTAGGAGCGGACCCACAGTGGGATCTTTGGTGTGGGACTGGAACTTGCCGCGTTAGCTGTCAGCTTGCCGGGGCTTGCTCTCCATCATGTTTGCTGGCGGCCTTGCTCTGCAACTCTGCAGGCCCAGAAAGGCACTGGCAGGCGTAGGTGCTTTCTGGGCCTGCAAGCCACACATGCACTCTCTTTCCAAGAAGAGTGTGTGTGTGGCTTGCAGACCCAAAGTGCCTACGCCTGTCAAGGCCAGCAGCTGAGTGCCTCTTAGCCGGCGTGGGCACTTTGGCCTTTAAGCCACACATGCACTCTTGGAAAGCGATTACGTGTGTAGCTTGCAGGCCCAAAGTACCTGCGCCTTCCAGGACCACAGGTTGCGCAGGCCTGCTCTAGCACAACAGTCGTCATCTAAAAATTCCAAGCAAAGATTCTAATAAACAAAAGACCAGATTATGAGCCTAGGGCAATTCCAGGGCTTCCTGACTGATTGAGGTCTCTTCTACACTCCCATATAAAATCCAGATTATCTGTTTTGAACTGGATTATATGGCAGTGTAGATTCATATAATCTAGTTCAAAGCGTTTGATGTGCATTATCTGTTTTGATAATCTGGATTATATGGCAGTGTAAGAAAACAAAATTGTAGGGCAAGCTTTTCCAATCAGGCATTTTACAGATGTGCATCTTACAACTCCTGTTATTGCCAGTCAACATGGCCATTGGACATGATGTCTGTGAATGTTGGGAGGAAGTCCAGCATATCTGAAGGGCAGCTGTTTAGAGTAGGCTGCTTAAATAGGAGCAAAACTGCCTTTCAGATCTGTGGATCAACATGGTTCACCCCATGGTGGGAGTTTTGTCCCTAACTTGGTTTGTAAAACACGCTTAAAGCTAACTTCCCTTATCTTAGTCTCTTAGTGAACCTTTACTGGCTGTTGTACACTAATGTGGATGTTTTGTTTAGATTTATGTTATTAGAGAATTTGGTCTGATTACGTGTAGTTTAATTTATTGATGTCATATTTAATTTACTGATGTTAGGTCTTAATTTGATATTAGGCTTTAATGTTATTTTTTAATGTGGGGTTTTTCTGGGATTTTATGTTAGTATTATGTGTTTTATGTAGGCATTGAATGTTTGCCCTCTGGGAGATAGGGCGGAATATAAATAAAGTTATTATTATTGTTAATTATTAATAATATTATGTCTAAATGTGTGTATCGGTATTTTCAAGATAAGTTTTGTCTTTGCTTTGTTGATTGAGATAAACTGTCTAATAATAGCAGACTAAGATTTTCAATCTTAATCCATTGCAGGAAGAGAAGAAAGCTTTCAAAGATTATGTAGAGGAAGTTCTGCCTACATATGTAGGAACTACAGTGAGAAATCTGGCTGGCAAATTTGAAAAATTGAAAGAAGCAAGGTATATTGTGAATGCTATTGAACAGAACTCCTTTTCCAGTATGGGTTTTCTAGTATTGGCAATTCACATCAGCTTGCTTTTTGCCAAACTCTTAAACTTTGATCTAAAATTGTTTGTTGAAAAGTCTTATTTTGTCCTTTAAAATAGTTTGTAAAGTTGACTACTATTTAATCCTCTTTTGGTGGATAAAATAGCATTACTTGCTACTAATGGTGTGAGGGAGAGTGTGCGAGGCTGGAGGGAGGTTCGCGCCAGTGAGTCCCCTCAAGGCATTGGGGTTCTGTGTGGGAAGTTTGGCTCAATTCTGTCTTTGGTGGGGTTCAGAATGTTATTTGATTGTAGGTGAACTATAAATCCCAGCAACTACAACTCCCAAATGTCAAGGTCTATTTCCCCCAAACTCCACCAGTGTTTACATTTGGAATATTGAGTATTTGTGTCAAGTTTGGTCCAGATCCATCATTGTTTGAGTCCACAGATGCTCTCTGGATGTAGGTGTACACCTTTGGGTGTAGGATTCAAAGGTGTAAATGTAAATATTACAAAGGAAGTGAATGGAAATAATTTGCATTTTAGTTTGTGACAGATGTATTGATCTTTTTTTTATTGGCCATGCATTGAAAAAGGAAAAAAATGTATATAATTTAACACTTTTTTCTTTGTTTTAAAACATATTTAAACAAAGGCAAGGAAATGTGGGTACTCGTTTTGGAGAAAATCTTTCAGAAGCGGTAAAGGTGGTGAGAGAAGGATGTCTTCTGGCTCCCCTGTCTTTGGAAAAACTGGAGAAGATTTGGAAAGACTATAACTTTGCCCAGACGGAAATTCGTCTTTGCAAAGATGTGGTGTGTAGAATGCGTGGCTCTTTTCCGTACAGGCTGTTTTTTTTTTGTTTGCTTGTTTTTAAAGTTTGAAAAAATTATTTTGGGCATTACTGTGCAATACACCTAATAATGTGTGATAAAATTAAGCTAGGTTTACAGTCTCATAAAGCGGGAAGTCCTGAAAGAAAAAAGAAACGTGTGGAAAAGTTCTGTTCTTGGAAAAGGGTCTTTGGGCCATGTTTATAAATGCTAGATATCTGGAAAACATTCTTCTGGAAGAAGGACAGAAAGCTTTTTCATACCAAAGCCTGAATTTAATTCCAGAGGAACTCAGAATGGGAGGTATATGCCAGTGCTGGGCATGATCTACCAAAAAAAAAAAAAAAGGAACCAGAAATTAAAGCATTTGGGGTTTAGAGCCTTAGGAGTTCTGGTGCTCTCCCAAATGGATTATACTAAAGTTGAATAGTTCTTTCTTATTTTGCTCTGCGAAGTCACTTGCCTTCAGGTGAAAACTAGAAAGTTTCAGGTGTATAGTCCTGATTTCTTTCTCTTTTGTGTATAGGACAATATTCAGTGCTTAATTCTTCACAGAAAGGAAATGCAAGAGAAGTTGTACTCTGCCGTAGAAGAATTCATCATTGAAGTGAATGACTTGCCCCTTTTGGAACGCTTAGAAGAACTGAAGGTTGGTAACAGTGTTGTGCACTATTCTATCATCAGCGCATAGATGCACTTTCACACTACATAGTTACAGTACGATCCCCATGTCTGCAGGTAATTCATTTCTGCAGATAATGGCGAACCCTATTGAAATTAAGTACTTCTGATCCAAAAAATCAAGAGTCACAATTGTGGAACCTAGAAAGTGCCCAGGAAATATATAGTTTGTCAGATATGGATAAATGAAACCATGGATCCCATCCTGCGGATATGCAGATTGTATTCTGGGTTGCATCCTCAGAGCTTGTGAGGTTTTTTGGAAACTAGGCAAGTGGGGTTTATATATCTGTGGAATGTCCAGGGTGGGAGAAAGAATTCTTGTCTGTTTGAGGCAAGTGTGAATCTTGCACATGGCCACTTTGATAAGCATTGAATGGCTGCTTCATGTCTGGGGGAATCCTTTGTTGGTAGGTGATTAGTTGGCCCTGATTGTTTCTTGTCTGGATTTCCCCTGTTTTTTTAGTGTTCCTTCTTTACTGTTCTGATTTTAGAGTTTTTAAATACTGGTAGCCAGATTTTGTTCATTTTCATGGTTTCTTCCTTTCTGTTGAAATTATCCACATGCTTGTGGATTTCAATGGCTTTTCTGTGTAGTCTGACATGATGGTTGTTAGAGTGGTCCAGCATTTCTTTGTTCTCAAATAATATGCTGTGTCCAGGTTGGTTCATCAAGTGCTCTGCTATGGCTGACTTTTCAGGTTGAATTAGTCTGCAGTGCCTTTCCTTGATTCGTGTTTGGGTGCTGCGTTTGGTGTTCGCTATGTAGAGTTGTCCACAGTTGCATGGTATATGGTAGACTTCTGCAGAGATAATAGGATCCAAACAGACAAGAGTTCTTTCTCCACCCTGGACATTCCATAGATATATAAACTCCACTTTCCTTGTTTCCAACAGACCTCACAATCTCTGACAATGCCTGCCATAGATGTGGGTGAAACATCAGGAGAGAATGCTTCTTGAATATGGCCATACAACCTGGAAAACTCACAGCAACCCAGTGATTCCAGTCATGAAAGCCTTCGACAACAGATTGTATTATATTGTGCTATGAGTCTATTTTAACTGGTATGGAATCTCAGGTTAACAGTGTAGGGAGGAGCATTTAGAAATCTCAGTCAGAGGGCAATAGGATCTCATCCTCACAATTTTATAGGATGTTGCCGTAGTAGTTAAAGTGCATTGGCAATGGTTTAGTTGAATATTTCTATAACATGAAAGTATCAGCTTTCAGAGATGACCTACTGGCATACGTGATCAAGCAGGTCTGTAATATCCCCCCTCTTTATGATGTGGGCTATATTTCAGAAGAAGGAACCGGCAAAACCACCTCAGAGTATTCCTTGACTAAGGGAACTCTATGAAATTCATGAGGTCACCATAAATTGACAAGCAACTTGAAGGCACAAGAAAAGCAAAAGTAATATGTACTTGTGTCCACAAGATGGCATCCTCTGAGCATTTTGGTTATACTTCTGAGTGGTGACGCAACTGGCATTGGCAATTATAGGCTTTTTTGCAAGCCATTGCAACTGTTTCTTGAAAGAAAATAGTACTTTGCAGTGTCTTGATATTGTCAACCCATAGATTTAGTGTGCCATTAGTAGCTTTTGAAAATAGGTGTTTGAATTCTGAATTTTTATTAAAACTTTTCACAATTTTCTCTCGGGATGTGTATAAGCATGACTGAAGATGACAGTTCTCACATTTTAGTCTTCAGGGAAAGCACCCACATCTCTATCATTTCCTTTCTCAGAAATATTTACAATGCTGAGATTTATCTTGTTGCTTCTTACTCTCTTCATCTATTTGTTTATATACTACTATTCCCCCAATATTTGGATTTAGGGTGACTGATACCATATTTAAAACAGTCCAGATTAAAAATTATCCAAAACTTCAGTTAGGATACAAATTTAAAAGTTATTTTAAAAGCAAGTAAACTATAAAAAGTCTGTATAAAACATAAAACAACACATTATGACTGTAGGAACTTGACCACAGAATCACACTGGAGGGTAGATATTTTTAAAGAGAACATTTTAAATAAAATCTATGAATATTTCACAAAAGTAAAAAAAAAAAAAGCAAATGTAGCAAGATGACTGAACCTTGAGTTTGTCATTTTATATAGAGAGGCATCATTTTACTATACCATTGCACATACTGGGACAAGAATCCACAAATGTTGATATCCATGGGAAGTTCTGGAACCAAATCCCAGGGCTCACCTTTTTCCAGGTTCCTCCAGACCTTTGGAAATTCATTCTGGGTTCTTGCTATATGAATCCCAATACAATAAAAATGATTTTTCTCACCAATTGTTGTTCTGCTTTGTACTTGGAGAGGTAGTTGCCTAAATTATGCTAGAGAATGGATGGGCTAATTTTTGCTTCATTTTATAATGTATTATTTCTTTTGTGTGTATGTGTGTGTACTTTCCTCATGGTTTATTTCTCTCCCAACCCTGATGGTGTTTCCTTCCTAATTCTGTAGACATTGCAGGAGTCTTTGAAGTCTGCATATGGTTATGCTCATCATGAAGTAGAAAGTTCTGTGGATGCATTTGAGAAGTTCTTTGAGTGGAAGAATGGAAAGCTGGAGGAATTCAACCGGGTCAGGAATTCCACAGATGGTTCCTTGCTAAATCTTGTGATGGGTTTCAAGAAAATATTTCAGGTAGAGGTGACTTTCTGTTGTCTCAAACAAAAAAGAAAAGTTCAGCTTTCAGCAGCATGATCTGGGGGGTCAAGCTGCAGGTCTCTTTAAGAGAAAAAAGTGATATATAAATCAGTGTAATGATGGTAATGATAGTACTTTGCTTCTTTCAAAAGCAGTTGTGGGGGGGAGGGGGGGAGAAGAGGTACTGTTGCAGACCACAGGTGAAATCTGTGATCTGTAGACATTTCTTTCTGCTATGACCAAATCACTAGTAGGTGAAACTCTCACTGCAGAATTCAGTTTCTGTTGACTTAATCTGCATTTTAGCTGTGGATTTTAACTTGTATTTTAACTATGCGTCTTGTTGTATGTTTTAAATAGTGTTCTATCTCTTGTTTTATTTATGTTGTATCTTGCCTCAAGCCGCAGGAAGAGGCTGGTAATAAATGCATTATTATTATTAGTCAAAGATTAGGACAGAAACAGAAATGGGGAAAACACCAAACAATGGTGATGTAGAGAAGGGGGGATGTGCTTCTTGAATCTGATTATTAAATCTCCCCAACTTTGCCTGGAATTTTGCACTAACTTTTTTTAACCTAATGCAGGTTCCATAATTCTACCATTTTTCATTATTTTTTACTGACATCTTCTAGAAAATGGACAAATAGGTTGGATAATTGCATTAGATATATAGTAATGCATATTCATATATTCATATGCCCTACTTTAGTGTGCTCACCAGTGAAGGCCACGTACGTGGTTTTGCAAGTGTGCTTCCTTAGCAAAATGCACATGGGAATGTGGGTCTCAACATTTTTCTGGAGCCACACTTTCAACTGTCTATTTGTGGGAATCTTCTAGGAACTTAACACATGGAGTGAGAACATTTCATTCCTATGATGCAACTTCACAGAGTGAGGCAGCTGATTGGAACACTCTTTCATCACCTTCAGCCTGATGACCCAGGAAGCTTCCATTACAGCCTGTGCTTTGCAGCATTTGACTTGTAGCAGAATATCTAGATCAGGGGTCCTCAAACTAAGGCCTGGGGGCCGAATACGGCCCTTCAAGGTAATTTACCCGGCCCTCGCTCAAGGTCAACCTAAGTCTGAAATGACTTGAAAGCACACAACAACAACAATCATATCTCATCAGCCAAAAGCAGGCCCACACTTCCCATTGAAATACTAATAGACATATATTTATTGAAATTGTTCTTCGTTTTAATTATTGTATTGTTTTAAAGTTTTTTTTGCACTACAAATAAGATATGTGCAGTGTGCATAGAAATTCATTCATGTTTTTTTTTCAAATTATAATCTGGCCCTCCAACAGTTTGAGGGACTGTGACCTGGCCCTCTGTTTAAAAAGTTTGTGGACCCCTGATCTAGATGCTCCATTTTCTATATATACTAGTATATAACACTGGCGAAGACACGTTTTGGTGTCTCAAATATTAGACCTGTTTTGGGGTATATTTGACCTGCTGATTCCAAATATGACACCAGTTTCCTGCATCAGTTCCAGTTTTTGAGATAGAGAACATATGCTGTATATCAGTCTTTATCTGCTCACTCATAAAAAAATCATGATAACAATGTCTAAGAAACTAGAGGTGATACTATCTATCACATTATTTTACTCTTAATATTTCCTCCTCTTCCTAAAAGAGGTCCTGTCTGTGGACCCACAATCTAATAGGCACAGTACAAATATTGTGTGGTGGGAGGAGAAGAAATGTAGAACCAGCTACACTTCCAGTAGTGTAGATCAGGGGCAAATTGTGTCCTCTCCAAATCTTTTGCCATGGTGTCCTTCCTGGGAGGCAGGGATGATAATGATGTGTTTGGATCCTCTGACTGATGTTAGACGCTAGAGTGCGCTTTGCAGTTCCTTGACAGCAGAACAACAACATTAAGAAATATCGTGTAGGCAGTGCAACTTCTCCAGTCGCTGGGGCTTCAGCTACAACACACAATGTCTTTCAATGCAGCTGAAACTCATATTGTGATTAAAATTGGCAAATAAAAGTACAGCATTGTGCCAGCAGGTCTCAAGTGATTTGCGCACTAGGCTTTTGAAGTTGCATATGTATGCATATGTTCATCAACAGATGAACTCTGTTGAAATAATGATTTTGTACTGAAAAATAGGCCCCCTGGTGGCGTAGCAGGATAAACTGCTGAGCTGCTGAACTTGCTGACAGAAAGGTTGGCAGTTTGAATCTAGGGAGCGGGGTGAGCTACCTCTGTTAGGCCCAGCTTTTGCCAACCTAGCAGTTCGAAACATGCAAATGTGAGTAGATCAATAGGTACCACTTCTGCGGGAAGGTAACAGCGCTCCATGCAGTCATGCTGGCCACATGACCTTGGAGGTGTCTACGGACAGTGCTGGCTCTTCGGCTTAGAAATGGAGATGAGCACCACCCTCCAGAGTTGTACATGACTAGACTTAATGTCAAGGAGAAGGCTTTACTTTACCTAATTGAAAAACACCATTGCTGCAGATTAAAGCAAGAAACTCCTTTGAAAAATGTTTAGCTTGTTGTAGCTTCCTCAATGAACTCTTACATATGTAGTGCCACTGTGTTGATGTCATCATTGACCAGGTGCTTTATTATCAGAGTTGTATGAAAGGAATATATTATTGGACATTGCCCATTGACTTAAGCAAGTGGCTTACAGAAATGAGCAAAGCTAGCAAGATCGCTCTAATATTTTTAAAGAAATCTTCCATTTTCTATTGCCTCTATATAATAATAATAATAATAATTATTCATCGCCATAATTATCTTTGCTTTTACAGTTCTTTGATATGAAAGGGGAAACCCTTTTGAAATATGAGGAGGTTGGTATGGATGTGGATGAAGTTCTCAAGAAGACTGAGATGGATATTTCTCAGGAGCTGGACCTTTTCCTCATTGTAAGTTTGTTTTTCAACAAGCCTTCGGCTATATTTAGATTCCTTTAATGAATATACGTGAGGACCCATAGATTTCATCAAGCACTTTACACGACAGATTGATTATTGTTTTTTTAATATCTGCAGCTATTGCTGTATTTTACTGATTTTAACCGGGGGTTTTGAGAAGTGAGATATTTATGTTGGCTGTTATTTTTTTATGTTACTGTTTCTGCAATTTTTGTTCTTTATCTGTTTGCATCTTTGAGTGCCTTAAGCTGCTTGAGTCCCTGTGGGAGATGGTGGCAGGGTATAAATAAAGTTTTTTATGATTATTATTATCATTATTACTGTTTTTTAATTTTAAAAGGAAATGTTCTCTAGGCTTCATGTGTTTTGGACAGAATGCATGTTAGTGTTGGAAAGTTTCAGTGTCATGTAAGAAGCAATTTTGTCCAAAACTTACTGTAGTAAATATCCCAAGTAATCGAGTATTATATGATCAGGTCAAAATTAAGTGGTGCATGTTGGTTTAATGTAGGGCAGAAGAGTGCAACTGCAGAAACTGCCGGCTGTGTCCTATGAGCTACACCATTATGACTAAAAAAGAAGAGACTGGAAGATTGCTTCCATGTTATTTAAAGAATGTGTGGGATACTGAATGGTGGTGGTGGGGCTTTATGGGGTGAATTATGTCCTCTGGAGTCTTTAAAAGAAGCAACCTTACAATTTCTTGCAAAAAATTAAAAAAAAATCTGGTGTTGGGATGGGGATGGTTCTCAGTATTACAGGAACTGCCCTCCTTGGAGACTACTTTAAGAACTGAATGCTTTCTATTGCCTATTATTTGCAAAAAATAAGAATAGATAAGTTCTCACAAATATTGTCTTAAAATGACATTCATAGTGTTAGATGTTTAAATCAGCACACTTTATGCACTAATAGATAATATTGCCTGTCCCTCTATGTGCAATTCTGTTTAGGAACCAGATGAAACGGATAAAAAAATAATCCAAAATGTTTATGTAGAGGTTATACGTATGGCCCACCAAGAGCAGCAGCTGTTAGATACTGTCTATCACAAGCATCTCGAAAGTATTGAGGTCAGTTTGTCGATTTTCTTTCTTGTTTGTTCAGAAATGATAGCAAAAATGGAATTGTAAAGCTATAATGTATTGTAAAAAATGGCCATAAAAGACTTGGGTGAAATACAGTTTAGCCTTGGCTAGAATAGACCCACTGAAATCAAGGAGACTTAAATGGTAACTATCAAGTCCCATTCATTTTGATGGGTCTGCTTTATTAGGGACTAAATTTGATCTAAAGTAAAGGTTGCCCTTGACATTAAGTCTAGTGGTATCTGACTCTGGGGGTTGGTGCTCATCTCCATTTCTAAGCCAAAGAGCCGTTATTCACCGTAGACACCTCCAAGGTCATTTGGCATGACTGCATGGAGCGCCCTTACTTCCTGCAGAAGTGTTACCTATTGATCTACTCACATTTGCATGTTTTTGAACGGCTAGGTTGGCAGAAGCTGGGGCTAATAGCGGGAGCTCACCGTGCTCCCTGGATTTGAGCCAGTGGCTTTTTGGTCAGCAAGTTCAGTAGCTCAGTGATTTAACTTTCTGTGCCTCCAGGAGGCCCAAATTTGACTTTACATGGGATTTTATACTTCAGTGCTAGGAATACGTACACATAATTTCCCCTGTAACTGAAAGAACAGAAAGCTCCCCCCTTCAGGTGGGTGGGGGGTGGGGGGTGGGTGGGTTAATTTATTCACTCTGGGCTCTCTAACTCTGTTTCTTAGTGATTACTTTTTCTTTTCAGTTCAGAAAACAGCTTGCGGAATGGCTGGATACAAGTCCTAATATTGACAATTTGTTACTGATTAAGAAGAGAATTAAAAGCCTAAAGAGTCAGCTGAGATGGAAGATGGCAGAAAAAGTCTACTTGGAAGAAGTATGGGGAAAGTGTTTTGATTCCTTCACAGACCTCACTATTTAAGAGTACCTTTTCCACTGTTTAAGGAATGAATTCATACCCATGTCTGAAAAGCAGATATTGTCTGGTACTTGAGAAATCGCTGTTTTAAGGAAATTATACTTCCTAAGCAGTCAATGCAGAAAACCCGATTAAACAAATAAAAGTATGAAACAGACAAGAGAGAAAAAAGGCAAGCACACAGATGCTCAGAAAATATTAGAGTTGGGCACATAGTTTTTCAATAGAAGAGGCGAAGAAAGGGATAGTGAGTGGAATATCAATAGTCAGAAAAAATATTCTTTACATTTCATGAATAATAGACCTACAAACAACTTTTGTGTGTTTTGCTGTCAAGACTCCACATGGGGCTATTGAGATGTAGTGAATAAGAGTTGTCATGAATCTTTCCAATGCTGCTGGCACAGTTACCGCAGATGAAATGGTGGAGGAACGCATGAAAAATTATGTGTCATGAACAGAAGGAGTATAGTTGTTAGGTGAATTGGGAAGAAGTACTGTATAAGGGCTATGTAAGTATCCAGCAATTGGATTTCTCGATCAAAGGCTTTCCTAGACCAGCTTCCTGCTTTTCTTAATGGTTTCTCAGATACTTTCCAGGACTTGGGAACAGTAGTGTTCTCCTACTATTGTCCTCCTGCAGCTAGTATTTAGAAGCATCCTTGAGACACCATGTAGCCATCATGACTAGTAATCCAACCATACATCTAGCAAGTTTAGTAAGGGGAATAATTCTGTCAAATATGGGGGGAAACAAGCACAGTATACTTAGAACACAGATATCTATAACTGACCTATTAAATTTAACTATTTAACTAACCTATTTAATTTGACAGTCCCCCCTCCCCCCGCCCCTCATTGAGTACCAGCACTGCATTTGTGCCATTGGCAATTTTTTTCTTGTAAACAAATCCTGAAACAAGAAAATTGATTGTTTTCAGTCAGTTCTTCTGTCTTTGAGGAAGATGTATTGTGAGTAATTTGGCCACACAGTTGAATCCCCAAACTCCTTCCCAGTACTTCAATTGTCCTTTTCAACAAGCAAACCAAAGAAAATAAAATTAGTATTAATTTCAGCAGATGAACAATTGGAAAATAGATTTGAAATGCAGAACTCTTAATGAAATGAAGTTGCATTGATGTTCAGTCATACTATAAGGTTATATTCTCTGATATTGATGACATATGAATTCTTTGAGATAATAACTTTTAAAATATCTACCTTTAGTCTGATGATTACAGTGAGTCCACAGTGAGAAAGATAAAAGAAGAAATCATTGCACTGCGAAACAATATCTTTCAGGAAATATCCAAGGAACAAGAAGAATATGTGAGTATTCAAACCTGGATATCCTTTCTCTGAATCAGTGGAATGGATCGTGTAAAGATAGATATAATTCGGAAGAGGGTTAAGTTTGACCCATGGACAGATATGGCCTGTAGTGCTTCCCATATTGTTTGCAGGCAAGCTCTGCATTCCGTCCCCATAAGCCTGGTTCCAAGAGGCCCTTCTGAAGGGAATCTTTGCTATCTTTGACCTCTACCTCTAAAATAACAACAACAACAACAACAGCAATCATTTTAAAACACTTCATAAAATACTTAAATGTTTGGCATTGGGCAATACAAAGTGGTAACTGATTATCCACCACTTCTCAGTCTTCACCATAAATTCAACACTTGGAAGTGCCACAGAGTGAACATCAGCCTAATTTCTGCTGTATTGCTCTGTGTCACTTTTATGCTGAGTGGCTACTGCAAGATTCCTCTCTCATTTAGGAGACACTGACTCATCTGGTGCAGACATGCTTCCCTGAGCTGCCACTCCTTCATCCCGAAGCTGAAATTCCAAAATATATGGTAAGTTCTGTTTCCAGGAGGGAAGAACTAAGGAAATGCCTAGCTTTTCTGTTGTCAAAATATAAAATAAAGCAGGACTACGATAACCAGATATTTTCAGCTATTATTCAATGTTTTAGTATGGCAATTATTATTCATGATACCTTGTCAATAATTATGTATTGATAATTGCTATTTTTATTAAGTACAGGTTGAGTACTGGTATCCCTTATCAAAAGTGCTTAGGACCAGAAGTGCTTTGGATTTCGGAATACCTACATCTGTATATATGCGCATAATGAGGTCTCTTGGAAATGGGACCTAAGTCTACATATGAAATGAGGTTTCTTCTTTGTAGCCTGTGTGAATCACACATGTGGGTTTACTATGCTTGCACAGGCTCCAACAGAAGTTTTCCAAGCTTCATCTTTTGAAGTTTTGTCACCCTACCAAATCCACTGGAGGCATAAAGGTGGCCCTACCAGTGTCTCCCCGGTTCCTTTTTGTCTGCCTTCAGCAGCTCATTATGGAATCCAGCTTGTTATGTTGACTACTCCCTTTAAGAGAGGCGGGCAATGCACTGCAAAAACGTTGGACTCAGATGGACACTCCAAGTGCCTCCAGTACCTGGGAGAGAACTACAAAGTCAGCTCCTGTCAGCACTGTCAGGTGTTCACAGCTCAAGCCAGAAAAAATATAGAGGCGAGGCTTCAAGCAATCTTTTACCAGCAAATCCTGGCTCTTTGTACCTTGGCTAAACCATTGGTAGCCTCCTCCAAAGCCTCAAAGACTTCAAAGAAATCAAATTCAAAATGGAGCTCAACAAAAAACCCAGTGCCATCGATAGCTCTGTATACCAAAGCCTTGGTTGCATCGACCCCATTGATCTCAGTGGCACCACCATCTTCCTCATCAATGAGGATTTTCCTAATACGCTTGCTTGAACAGAAAGGAGCTGAGCTACATGCAACCCAAGAAAACTATAAATCCCAGCAATTGCAACTCCCAAATGACAATATCAGTGCCCCTCCCCAGCCCCACCAATATTCAAATTTGGGCATACAATGCCAAATTTGGTCCAGTGAATGAAAATACATCCCACATATCAGATATATACATTACAATTAATAACAGTAGCAAAATTACAGTTATGAAGTGACAATGAAAATAATTTTATGGTTGGGGGGTCACCTGAACATGAGGAACTGTATTAAGAGATCTCAGCATTAGGAAGGTTAAGAACCACTGCCCGAGGCCTATTTAATGCAGGCACAGATGAGAAACTAAAATCGAACAAGGACTTTAAAACCCTTGCAGGGGAAATGTGGGATGCAAATCCAACCCAATTTCTGTCACTCTCAACCAAGGTGGCAACCCCAACATTATAATGTTTTACCTCCACCTTCCAAAGAAGCCAGAGGAGGGGGGCACCACCGCCTCCTTGGTGACACTCTCAAACCCCAAGACAATGGCCCTGACCTCCTTTCACCCTAGGTGTTGGGTTTGGTGCTCCAGAGGATAATACCAAATCTTGCTTTAATACCAATACAGATTCCATCATAGACCTGCCACCTTACCAACCAACTGTCCTCCTTACTCCACCTCACAACCCCCCATTCAAAGATGTCTTGCGGCGTTTGCTTGAGCCTGGGACTACATAAATAAAAAAGTAAATATACAAGGTGTAACACATGCCTCTGGGTTTGTTGGCTTCTGATTACCTCTTAGTTCTTTGTTTACAGTGTTTTTTCTCTGTAATAAAGTTATTTTCTTGTAGCATATCACACTTCTTGGTACCTGAGCTTGCTAGTCTCCACATGTGTGATTCACAGAGACAATGAAGGACAGTAACTGTTTTTTTGAGTGGACCTCTGAAGTCACACAATCCTGCCCGTTTCTCCTCTCTATTTTGCCAGCCTCCTCCTTTCCAGCTTCCCTGGGAACTGGGGAGCTGCTGGTGCGGGGCACCTTTAAAATTGAAAATCTAGAGCTTGGAAAACTTTCATTGGGGCCTTCGCAAGCGCAGTAAACCCACATGTGTGACTTCACAGAGGTCCAGTAAAAAAAAACAGGTACGAATATGTAACCTGCCCTTCATGTACACCTTGTACACAATATTTTCAATAATTTTGTGCATGAAGCAAAGTTTGGATACATAGAACCACCAGAAAACAACTGTCATGATGTGAGAATAAGGGATACTCAGCCTTTCTTAAGTGTTGAATTAATTATCCTTAGCATCAACATAAGTGGGAAATTACTTGAATAGTTTTATTATTATTACACAGTTCTTGAATGCTTCTCATCCTCCCACTTTTACCATTAGGCCAAATTGCTACTCAGATTTGTTTCATGTGTAGAACTATAGCCATGTCCCAAAACTTAGCTCTTGTGTCAACCCTCTGTTTTCTAAATCTCCACCATGGCTTTCAATAATGCATTTTTTAACATTTTGCTTGTTTGTCTTGTTGTTGACAATTGGACTTCAGCGTATTATCAGTCGAAATTGAACAGTTATTCTAATAGACAAAATGGATCAAATGGCAAGCTTGTTTATGCAGCAAAACCTTTAAATATTACATAGGCCAGTTTTGCATATAACAAGGAGAACCCTTTGAAGAAATCTTTGAGAAACCTTTGAAAATCTTGTGCTTTCCAGGCTCCTTTTATTTTCTCTTGTGCAAATATTCAGAAGCTACGGTTTTTGTTGTTATGTCTGGACTAGGTATAGTGTTTTAGGACTGACCCTAGCAAGTTGCTGAACAGCCAATTAAACATTTCAGATTTGTACTTGGTTCGCAATTTGCTAGGTTTTGTCTTAAATCAATGCTTTATATTTAATGGCAAGTTCGAAGTTGTAGATACAGACCCCATTTGACTCTTAATCTATGAACAGTAAGTGTTTAAGTCATAGGCTTTGGAAGCACAATAACAATATTGGGTTGCCACATTTCTTTACATCATCTCCTTAAGACCTGGAACCCTTTAAGCTGGAAATTAGGGAGCTATAACTTGGCATTAAAATACACCATTCCAAATTAAGGAAGCGGTTTCCCCCCATGTTAAGCAGAGTAATAATCTGGTTGCATGTTTTGCAAATGATCTCCAAGCAGCTTGCAATGTTTTGGGTAAAAAGCTAACTGAAACATATTGAGTTCTTTTTTATGGCATGGGTATCTATTCCTATTTTTCCATGTTCTACCTCTGGTACCAGATATTCTGATAAAGAAGTAAAAGTTTGGGAACGCATCTACTTTGTTTACTTAGATACACCTGTATACAGCACCAGCAGCAGCAACAAATCTATCTAATAACCATAAAGAAGGTATTCATAAAGTAATCTCTGCTTCTGTACCTTCCAAGTTATGTAAATTTAGAGTTTTTGAGAAGTGCAAATGTCCAGGTTCTGTTTCATGATTTGCTAGATGTGGGTCTCACAGGGTTTTTTAGGTGGAGCATTCCTCTTTGTGCTTAACCGCTTTGGAGAGAAAAAGTGGGGTATGAATAAATATAATAATAAACACAATAGTAATAATAATATCTTGCAGCCATTTGTTTTTGGCCTGTGCTTGGTTTATTTATTCTGTATAGTCAGTATGATTTTGTTCTGAGATCTACAAGTTTATGACTGTGCAGTTGTGAGATTCATAAAGCATTTGGTATGTTCTCTGTGTTTTTCAGAATTCAGGAGGGCTTCTTACATTTAGTTTGGAACGTGATCTTTTAGATGCTGAACCAATGAAGGAACTGAGCACAAAGCGCCCTCTGGTTTGCTCAGAAGTTCAAGGGCAAAAGGTTATCCTAAAGGTACATTTCCTAATTTGTTTTTAGGCTGTTAGCATAAAAAGGAGGGAAGGATATTACAGGCAAAGATGAAGTACTTTGGCCACATAATGAGAAGACAGGAAAGCTTGGAGAAGACAGTGATGCTGGGGGAAATGGAAGGAAAAAGGAAGAGGGAAGGAAAAAGGAAGAGGGGCAGATCAGGTGCAAGATGGATGGATGGTATCCTTGAAGTGACTGGCTTGACTTTGAAGGAGCTGGGGGTGGCTACAGTTAACAGGGAGCTCTGGCGTGGGATGGTCTATGAGGTAATGAAAAGTCGGAAGGGACTGAACGAATAAACAACAAGCATAAAAAAGCCAGCTGTTAACCGATCAGAAAGCTTCTCAGATGCCAGTGTTTTATCATTAGTATGTTCATATTTCAGGTTCCTAGATGCCAGGATCAGATACTTGGGTGCCTGATTGGCCAAGCACTTAAGAATTTTGAAGAAACAATTTTTAAGTCTGTTTTTTAGAGATTAAAGCATGATACCTGGCGGTTTCTGATGACCGTTTACTTTAAAAGCTCATTGTTCTCTTATCTAAGAGCAGGAATGGAGTATTTGTGGGCCATAATTGCTGTTGGAAGTAAGAATTCAGTATACCTGGAGAGCAAAAAGTGGCCAGATCTTTGGTTTATAGTCCTTTTTAGAGATGGAAAGGAACTCTCAGCTCGAAGCTGAATATCTGGAAACTATTTTCATAGTGGTTCTTAACTTGTACACCATGGATCCTTAGGGGGTCTATAAATTAATACCCGTCATCGGTTTTTTAAAGAGCTTCATTAACCCAAAAAGGTTAAGGGCTGTTGAATTACCATATATACTCAAATATAAACCGACCCGAATATAAGCTGAGGCACCTAATTTTATCACAAAACCAAAAATGTATTAATTCGAGTATTAGCTGAGGGTGGGAAATGCAGTAAGTTGATCATTTTTGAATATTTATATAAAACTGTAATTTAAGATAAGAATGTCCAACTCTGATTAAACCATTATTCTAACCTTTTTCAATGTAAATGTACTGACATATCCTTCCAATAATAGTAATTGAGGAAAATAATAAATATAATAATAAATAGAGTAAAATAATAACTGTAATAATAACAATAATAGAGTAAAATAATGTAAATGTAATAATAATAATTAATGTAAAATAATAAATGTAACAACAACAATAACAGATTAAAATAATAACTTTGACATGAGTATAAGCCGAGGGGGGCTTTTTCAGTCTAAAAAAAGAGCTGAAAAACTCCACTTATACTCGAGTATATACGGTATATAGTAAATGGATTGGAATCTTCATTTACCAGTTCTTTTATTTCAGTCTCTTGGGTTTGCCATTGTATGGAAAGGAAGGAGCATAACAGTATTGCAATGCAGTAGCTGCTAAATGAAAATTACAGCTGTATTGATAACTAACAAGTATTTAGTGTTCACAAGAATTCTAGATAATTTGTATATTTACATTCTGAATGAAATCTTATGAAATCTTATGAAATGGTAAAGATTTCCTATCATTCAATTATTTACTGGGTAAAAGTATATCAAGATGTGCACTTACGTTTCAAGTCCAAAAATACCTTTTTTTAGGGTTACGCTGTGGATATAAGTACTGAAACAGAAGTAATAGAAACAGCAGCAAAGTATCACAAAGTCTGGAGAGAAATGAAAGAGGAATCTGGTCTAATGCAGCTGATGTTCTTGTTTCTATGCAAGGTAATTTATAAGCTATCATACCCCTTTTCTTTTGTAGATGTAGGTTTTGTGTACAGTGGACAAATGTTGGTTTGATACATCAAAATAGGTGAGTTTTTTTGTTGCAAAAAATCTATTTCACCATGAATAAGCAGATGTACTGATATTTATTTGGTTGCTTTAACTTGGCTCTTCTTGCCAATCGGAGTTTCTCTTGTTGCACTATTCATCCAACTTCATTTTATTCTTGCTATACTGGAAGAGTGAGGGGTGAACAAAACTGCACTCCATCAGACAGTTCTTCAAGAACTCTCTGAATGCTTTAACTGGTTGTAATTATTGAAATACACCCAATAAAGATTTTTTTTTTAAAAAAAGAACTCTTTGAATGCATTCAGTTGTTTTTCTCTTTTTTTCTTACTGGAATAAAGGAAGAAAAAAAAGTGAAGCTGGATAGTATGGTTTAAGATGAAATGTAAGCCAGGCTAGTGGTAGAGCTGTACTAGTTTCAGTAGGTAATCCTCGAGAATAAGTGTGGTATAGTGGTTTGAGTATTGAACAATGGCTCTAGGAGTTCAAATCCTCACTCAATAGTGGAAACCCACCGGAAGACCTTAGGCAAGTCTTACCTGCTTCCTTAGAAGAAGGCAATGGCAAATCTTCTATGAATAAATCTTACTGAGAGAACTCAAGGAAGAGGTTGCAGTTAGGTGGAGTTGATATGAAGGCGCATAACGTCGAAGGCATATGTGTCATCTTAAAGGCATAACTACTGCATAACAACAGGTAACCCGACTTGACAGCATAGTTAATATCATACATACTTCTTTAAGGATGTTTCCTCTTACTTTTGTAAACATGGTGTTACGAAATGTCTAATTATAATGTAGGTTTTTAAAATCTTTGTTAATGTTGTGAAATGGGTGCAGGCCAGCTGATGCGTCGCCTTAGCTTAGGCGTTGCCATGGCGACGTGGCCCTCCAGGCAGAGGAAAAAGGGGCAGAGCTAACTGTCACTTGGCAGGGGCAGGCATTTTAAAAAATCAGTCTTTGGTGAGTGAACCAAAGTGGAAGATGGGTTGATTGAGAAGCCAAACCAAAGGGGGTTTAAGTCTTTAGCCAGAGTGCTAAAAGGAAGGGCAGGGCCTAGCTATGTAAGGGCACGACTCAGGGGTTTAGTATAACCAGTTTAATCTTCAGCCTTGGTATTTTAAGAGTCAAAGTAATTCACTTTGAAGTATAATCTAGCTGGGTTGCTAGAGGAAAGAGATTCCCGATCGTTTTATTGTGTCTTCAGTGTCAAATCTGAAGTAATAAAAGTGGGAATTCGGATTTAAGGTCAGTCAGAAAGACTGAGGTGAAAAGTGCTTGTCAAAGAGTAAATAGTCAGTTGAATTATAAGTAAAGTGAAGAAACTGTAAGGTTAAAGTGACCCAGTCAAGGGACTGAGAAAAAGAAACCAAGTTTTAAAAGAAAGGAAACCACAAACATTAAGGTGGCAGAAGATGAGCCATTCTTAACCTTCAATAGTAACGGTTTCATGTTTTCGGAAGAGTTAACTGTAGCAACAACAAGAAGATACTGTGTAACCGTCTAGCTTGTGTGAACCTGAGTAATCTTTAAATAAATGTTTTTCTGTTAAGTTCAAATGCTGAAGACTTCTGCCTGTATTTCCTGCGTGTGCGCTACATATTAATTGGTGGGAGTGGTGGGATAGAAAAATAAGATCAATCCTGCCATGCGACAGAAGTGATTGCTCTACATGTTTACACATGGCTACCAATGAATGTGAAAATGTTGAGAATCTTGATGTCTTATTGATTCCTTTTCATGCCTGAGCACACTATTTTTGTTTCTGTTTGTAAAGTCTGATCCTGTTGCATATCTGATGGTCCCTTATTATGGTGGAGCAAGCCTGGGCATAGTACAGAGTACTGCTCCTTTAACTCCAGATGTAAGTATTATGTCATTTGTGTGTAGCCTCTTGTATAGGGGTGGGAATTGTGCAGACTTCTTGATTTGGGTGGACTGCAAATTCCAGCAGCCCCAACCAGCATAGCCAATGGTGAGAGTTGCTGTGTGATGCACTGGAGTTCAGAATTTGAACTCTAAGGTTGTGGGAACATTCTTGGGATTAATTTCTTACAGATATTTTCCTCTTCATTTTAACCAGGAGAGCTTGAAAGTAATGAAAGGAGTAGCCCGTGGTCTGCATGCACTACACAGCGCTAATATAGTTCATGGGTCACTGCATAAAAACAATGTATTTGCTGTAAATCGAAAACAAGGAATTGTTGGAGATTTTGACTTTTCTAAATCAGAGGTGAGCTAAACTAGTTTCTTCAGTGCAAATAGATGGGCCGTATCAGTGTTACTGATTCAGGTGACAATGAAGTCCTCTGTTTTTCAAGACTGCAAAATCCAAGAGCTTTTGGGCTGGTTTGCTGTTTTGACTTCGCTGCTTTGCCCTTAAGTCCTTTGTAAAGAGGAGTCTAGTCTTCTTCTGTCATAATCTCTATAAATCTGCCCCCGATATAAGTAAGTATCTGATCCCCCCCCCTCCAGAAAATTTCCTTAGGGTTCCTGAGTAAAATTTTGAAAATCACTCATAACTGGGATTGTTCTATTACTTTGTTCAGACTCCCTTTGAAAAATTTTCTGTCTCTTTTATTTGGATGCTAAGCTGTATTTTTAAAGGCTCAATTGAAGTTTTAAGTTTCTTTAGTGGTAGACATTTGAAGGAAAAGTTTCCTTCAGGGGTGCAGAATTCTTATTTGGGGGCAGTGTCCCCATTGTGTCTTGTTCTGTAGTGACAGCCCTGATTTTTTTGTGGGATCTTCTAGTTTAAGACTTTAATCAAACCTTTGAAAATCTATTATTTTGGATGGTACCTCCCAGGCAGGCAGAGCAATTATGGAAGCTGTGATCCAACATAGTAATGTTTGGCTTTAAAGCTCAAAGAATTACACGTGCAACTCATGGGATATGGCTTTGTGCGGAGTTGGAGCTGGGTCATGGAAGGCACACAGACAAATGTCACATTCAGGATCTAATAGACCTCTCATTCAAGAGCTAATAGATTTAGATGAGAAGGGCAGAGGGTATATTAGAAAGCAGAACCTTGCCATGGATTGTGTATATTACACAGCACAACAACAAACATTCTTGGAGTCTTGGTTTTTAGGCCTGTACTTGGGTTATGTGGGGTTCTGATTCATAAACTTGCATTGGATAGACTGCATTAGGTCTAGTTTCTTAGGTATTGTTTGTTGGGCGAGTGGACCCTCCCCATAAATGTACAGCAGAGTAGTCCTCTTATAGCAGTGTAACCCAGCACCAGCAGCCACAAAACGATCAACAGAACAAAAACTCACAGACCAGTTTCTCATGTCCTTTGTAGGGTCTTTTCTTGTAACAAAAATAACAGTTTCAGCACTTACAAAATAAAGTCTTTTGTAACTCAGATAAGTTTATTGCTCTTAGTTCCTTTCTTTTTTGCTCTTGGCTTCTCTGTTCACTCACTGGCTTTTCTTGCATGCTGGTATGCTGCTTCAGCTTCGCTTACACAAGAGCCAAACACAGGAACCTTACACAGGACTAACACAGAGACACTGAGGCTCTAACACACAGGCTTCTCACACAGAGGCTAGTCATTCTACAGTCACACCTGCTTATATTATCACCCTATTGGTTTTGCTTAATCATTGGAATTTAACCCCTTCAGTGTTTGACTAATATTTTTGTAATTAAAAATACACTGTTATTTTTCAGTATTTCTGACATTATTATCATGATTTTCTGTGGGTGAGGAGATGGCAACTGGTATATGCCATATGTTCTGTATATCAAAAACTAGAGCCGACGGGAAAACTGGTACCATTTTTGGAATCAGCAGGTCAAATATATCCAGAAACAGGACCTACATTTGAGGCACCTAAATGACTGTTGGTCAGTGTTATATGTGTATTAGAAGGCCAAGCTACATGTTGAAATAATCCGAAATCGTGGGGGGCTCTAGTTCAGTCTGGGGCCCTGGTCCAGCTCAAGGAATGCACACTGTCCATTTTTAAAATCAGAATAATGTGCAGAAGAGACAACTACATGACTAACAAACCAAACCAAGAATGATTATCTTGTTGATGGTCAAAATGAAGAGAGCAAATGTCAGAGATGTCTTCGGTTATCTCTTCAAATCTCACTTTACTAATTTTGGTTTTGTTGTTGTATCTGTATGTGAAAAGTAAAAAAAAGTAAAAGATAGGTTGTTGAGAAAAATTGTACCACAAGACCAATTACAGCTAACTTGACAAATTACACTTCATCATTATAATAGTACTCTGCTGGTGGGTAGTTATGAGAGTAAATCATCCTGAAAATTAGTGTTCAGTCCACCTAGAGCAGTCGTAGCTGTGCCCAGTGTCAACTAGATGTCATTGATTGCTTTCATGATCACGTTGGGAGGAATGATGTGTTTCAGACCTGCTGTTGAATCAAGCACAGATATTGGCTTTTTGTAGATGTCAGGAAATTCCGTCATATAATTCCAACATGTAATTATTAACTGGTTCTAGAATCAGCGTGCTGCGATGAATTATGTGGCACTGAATGGTTTCAACTTAATTTCCCCTGAAGTAAAAAATGGACAGCCACCATCTCCAGCTTCAGATATGTTTGCTTTTGGTTGCCTCCTTTGCTGGGTATGTAAATTTACATTTTTAAATGTGTTTAAAATGAATCTGATTTCTGGTTTCTGAATTATTATGAAAATGATGAGCAGAACTGCTGTTATCCGAACATTTTAAAAATGCCTGACTGCTACTTCACTGTCTGGAACTACATTTATGACTGTTCCTAAGCTTTGTCTTTTTCTCAGAAACATATTTGATCTTAGGATTATGATGTTTGTCAATTCTATGAACTGTAAAAGGCCATCACTATGTTTCTCTTTCACTTCTGATCGTATCTTAATAAACTTGCAGACACTTTTCTGGGAATAATTCCTATGCTAGTCCTGTATGCTACTAGTTCTTAGTGAAGAAACATAATTGTAAGCATAGCACTCCATTCAACAAATAAAGGGCATTCTTTTATATATTTTGCTTTAAAAATAACTTGACTACTTTACCCAGTTTTGACTGTGTACTTTAAATTGCATTTATGCTTTCTATAAGTGATTTTGTACTTTTTAAAACTTGCAGCTATTTATTGGAAACCAAGAGTTTAAAATAAACAGGGATGGGATTCCTGAAGTGGATGGCCTTATAATGGTAGGTTTGTCTTCTTACCTTCTTCAAATATTTCAGGTAATACTTTAGAACTGGCAAATGGACTTAAAAATAAATCTTTAGATATTTAAACTGAGCAGGTACAAGAAAACTTAAAATGCCACAGCTATTAGTATAGGGAATGTATCATCCCCCCTCCCCTGAAATTAAAGAAAATTGAAACATCACTGTAAAGTATGAATAATGTTAATAGGATGTTAGGTCATTGGAATATGTTCATGGCTATAATTCAGATAACACAATGGATGAATTCCTAGGCATTACTTCTTTAATAGAAAAATTGATACCAGAGGCAGAAACATCACAGAAAGAATATGGACAGGTTCCTACGTCACAAAAAAGAACAGCAGTTCAAAGTGCTTGAGGAAACTTTTTATTAAAAACTAGGCAATATACCCCCAGGTGGTGCAGCAGGTTAAACTGCTGAACTCCTGAACTTGCTGACCGAAAGGTTGGTGGTTTGAATCTGGGGAACAGGGTGAGCTCCCACTATTAGGCCCAACTTCTGCCAACCTAGCAGTTCGAAATCATGCAAATGTGAGTAGATCAATTGGTACCGCTTCTGCGGGAAGGTAATGGTTCTCCATGGAGTCATGCCGGCCACATGACTTTGGAGGCGTCTACGGACAATGGCAGCTCTTTGGCTTAGAAATGGAGATGAGCACTACCCCCCAGAGTCGGACACGACTATACTTAATGTCAGGGGGAACCTTTACCTTTACTTAAGCAATATGCTGATGTGAAATGAAACACCCCAGTCAGGTAAACCTTTAATAGGTAACTAATACTTGATCTTTATAATTGAAGGCTTCCTCCAAAATGGGATAATTTTCATTGTTCTCCACTTTTAAAAATAATTTTCATTCTTGTGGCCAAATTTCTGGATCTAACCTTTTTAAACTTCCTGGGTAGCTGGGAAGGGGAGATTATCTTCCCTGCCGTTTTCTTTCTGGTTTGCTGTTCTCACATACTCAGTAAAGGGTCCTGGAGGTTGCTGTTGCTTACATTATCTGTTTTAGGCAAGCATGCCCACCTACAGAAGGATTGCCTAGAGCAGATTCCATATTTCCAGGTTTCAGTTTCATTGCATTAATTACTGCAGATATGTGACACAGCAGAGAAAGTCTGTATTTCTTCAGCCCTACTTCATCAGTGTCAATGCTGCTAAAAAAACTTCTAGCTAGACTGAGGACAGGGAGGGGCGGGGAGGATGAAGAAGGAGAGCTGGGCAAGTATAAATAATTTTGGCAAAAATAGCTTCTTTGTCAGAGACTTTGTTTATACATACAGTATTTGTACATAACACTTTACCAGAGATGAAACTGAGCCAAAATAATGCAGGAGCGTGGAAGGTGTGGAGGAGCAGCAAACAAATTGGAACTTAATCCAGACAAGACAGAGGTATTTCTGGTCAGTTGGAAGGCAGATCAGGGAATAGGGATCCATGAAGACACAGCTCTGCAGTTTTGGGGTCATCTTGGACTTGATGCTGAACCTGGAGGCCCAGGTATCTGCGGTGGCCAGGAGGGCCTTTGCACAATTATAACTGAGAAGCCAAATTTGGCCTTTGTAGTTGCTTGCTGAGACTGGCTACAGGGAGTGGACAACCCCCCTGTTGAAGCAGCTCCATCGGCTGCCAGTCCGTTTTGGGCACAATTCAAAGTGGTGGATTACCTTTAAAGCCCTAGATAGTTCAGGTCCAGTCTATTTGGCCGACTGCATCCCCTTGTGTGAACCTACCCAGGTCTTTAGGTGTTCAAGCTCAGTTGGTGGGAACAAGAGATGGGCCTTTTTAGTGGCTGCCCTGTGACCCTGGAACCCTGTCCAGGGAAGCCAGAATGGCCCCCTCCCTGCTGTCCTTCTAGCAGCAGGATAAAACCTTTTTATTCAAGCAGGCATTTAAAGATGAAGGTGTTTAAGATCTAGTCAGGAGATGCTGTAGTTTTTAACTGAATATGTTTTAATTGATTTTAACTGTGAATGTTTAGTGTTGTTTGTGTTTAATTCTCTTCTGATGTTTGTATATTTGTATATTTTAAATTGTATACCAATTATTTTAGCCCTAACCCTTTGGGGAGATAGAGCGGGGTATAAATAATATTTATTTATTTATTTATTTATTTGCTATATATTTGTATACCGCCCTTCTCAGCCCAAATCACCCAGGCCAAATATGGGTTGGAGATGTGTTGGCCAAGAATCCAATAACAGAAGTAGGCATGGGTCTATCACCTCACATCCTTTGGGCCACAAGATTTGAGGTGGTAGTGGCTAATATCTTGCCCCCAAAGGTTTCTCACTCTTCGTGTAATCATTGGTCTAAGATGGAATGAATCAGATAAACACTCGGAGATTGAGACACTGCAGTCTGCACTGATTGAATCTGCCAAGCTATTTTCAAGGAAGGGTACACATACAATGCAACAGCAACCCGAACTTCTGTTTCCTGACCCAGTGTGGTTTCTAGTCTAGGCCACAGAGGTATCCTGGCATACCCCCACCCCTCTTTCTGCTATAGTACTAAGCTTCACCTGAGTAACTTGGGTTGAGGAGCATCTGTGGTCAGGTTGTTGATAACTGTTTTTTATGTTTTTGATTTTATCATTATGGATAATTTATTTATTTATTTACTACATTTATATGCCGTCCTTCTCACCCTGAAGGGGACTAATAATATAATATATGCATACAATATATTATATTATTAGCATAGCACAATATCACTATTATATATTACTGTATTGTACTATACCATTGTACTGTAATATTATTAGTAATATTACATGTAATATAAATATGTAATTATAATATCGTATTATTATTATAAGTATTATATTGTATTACATTATAATATTATAAATATTTTATATATATACAATATATTATATTATATTATATTATATTATATTATATTATATTATATTATATTATATTATTAGCATAGCACAGGAGACAAGCTGGAACTGTCTTCCTGGCCCCCTCTCTCTTCACTCTGGCCCAGAGCAGCAGTTGGTGCTGGGGGGAGAGGCTCCCAACTAATGACATAGGCAGGAAACAAGCTGGAACTGTATTATCATGTATTATGTATTATTTTATTCTTGCGTGGTTTTATATTTATTTGTTGTAAGCCGCCCTGAGTCCTTTTGGAGAGGGAGTGGGATATAAATAAACATTATTATTATTATTATTATTATTATTATTATTATTATTATTATTCACTGTTTTCTCTTGTCTTTAATGATCTCATTTTACAGTTCTGCCCTTGGCTTTTTTTTCTTTTTAAGGATGATAAAGTTAAATCTCTGCTCACAAACCTCCTCTGTTCTAATAATCGAATGACTGCGGAGCAGGTGCTGAATGATGACTGTTTCCTGTTGCCTGAGATGATCTCACTCCCGCAGGAACATGGACAAGCTGAATGTGGAAATGAAAATGCAAGAACAGAAGATACAGAAATTGCAATTCCTTTGGGACATGAACAAGCTGAATGTGAAAATGAAGGTGCAATAACAGAAGATACTGCAATTGTGTCCGAGGACAAGCAGGATAGAGAAATTGTAGCTTCAGAGACTATAGAACTCAAGATGGTAAATTCAGACTAAACACAATTTAATTTTGTGAGCATAATTTCAGAACCCCAAAGGCAACTTTTCTAAACTTCTAACTTTATCTAGAAAGTTTATATGTACTTGTTTCATGCTTTGGTTTTGCATATTTTTTTAGTGAACTGAGATGCATCTTGGACAGTTGATTTTCACATTGGAGTTGTGAATTCAGTTTCATTAATGTTTAATTCTTCTGCAGTTCTTTTCACTTGCGTTTCAAAAATGGCAGTCTTCCTTTTCCTAGTTAGTGAATTTACCAGTTTGCCTTAAGATATGGTTTCTTTTTGGGTCCAATTAGGTATCATTTGAAAGACAAATTTAGTAGTTGTTCCTCTCCCATCTTTCCTTTAGGGTTGAACTTGGCAACTTCTGACTTTCAGAAGATACTGGAGTACAACTCCTATCATCCCTCACTATTTGCTATGCTTACTAGGGCCAACAATAACTTAGTAGGTGGAGGCTCATAAGATTTCTGTCAACCGATTCAGWTTGGGAAAACAGCGAATGACAAAGGCTCTGAAGCCCTCTTAAATAACTCAGCTTGTTATGTGACATAAATGTTGCTGAAAACAGTTGTGATCTTTCACTTTGACTCTGTACACTTCCAAGATAACAACTCTCTCCCTCCCCCCCCCCCCCCCCCAAATCAGTTTGTTTCTGGAAATACAACATTTAAGTAATTAGGCTTATTTGAATAAAGTTTTGGAGCAAGCCAATCGTTTTATGTTTTTGAAGTTTGGATTTTTTCTCTTAGACAGTTTAAGCAGCTAGGCATGGAGGCTTCACTCCTGTTTCTTCAAGTCATTTCTGAATTACAGCAACCTTGAAACATACCTATCACAATATTTTCTGGGGGGTGAGAATGTGGGATCTGCTTAAGTCCAACCAATGGATTTCCATGGCCAAGCAGGGCATTGAATCCTGGTCTCCAGAGTCATATTCCATAACCTAAACTACTACACCACATCGCTTCTCTCTGGCTTATAAACTACACTAACTAGTCTTTTTATTTTCCGTGTCACTTCAGATTACATCTGACCACTAGGTGCTGCTCTTGTTTTGGTACTATTGAATAGTAGTCCTGGAGCAGTGGAGAATGACTTCTGTGACAGTTGTTGAAGTTAGCTAGTGCTGTTTAAGGAATTGGCAAAAGAGATTTTTGGTCAGAGGCACCATGTGTAAGTGTATATATGGACATAATTATGTTGTTCAGTTGAAGATTGTCAACTGATATCTTGTTTACGTACTTGCTTTTCTTTAACAGGCTTCCACATGAAACTGGTGAGTAAATCCAAATGGGCTGATTGGAGCCCTATTTGCTTCTGGAAATATATGACTGTCCCAGTGCTTAAATTCTCCATTCACATTTTACTCACATACACACTTGCGTACAGTCGTGGATTCCTGTGCACTTGTGCCATTAGCAACTGGCTAATGGTAAAAAAATTGAATTGGTTCCAAATGCAGTTAATTGTTCAGGGCATATTTTGCAACATACAGTATTGAAAACTTGATTGCTTTCCATATTAGTAACATTTGGGCAGCAAAGTCATGCCTTCTTCAATTTTGGATGGGCGAAAAAATACTCATTTTCTTTAAAGATATTTCAGTAATCCATCCTACACCTTGTATTGGTCCATTCACCCCCTAAAACAAACAAAGTCAATTTTTGGAAATGTCCAGGGTTTGAGTTTATTTGGGGCAGCAAATGGCATCTGGAGCTTGGTGTGTCCTGGTTTATGATGTTAATCTGTTACAATCTTCCCATAAATAAGAAAAGTACAAGAACATTTTAAAGTGAAATGTACTGTAAGTGGAACTTCAATGTTTTGGCGATTATTACAATGACCAAAGGCTAGGTTCTGTCTCTGTCATTGGAGGAAGAATCATCCATGAATGGGTTAACTACTGCCTAGGCAAAGAAAAGAAAATCACAGGATTGAACCAATAGTGGATAAGGCAGCCCTTAAAACCAGTTCTCCAAAGTGCTGAAACCTTTTACTAAAGAGATTCAGCACCATGGAGAGCTCCTGGAAACTTACAGAAATCCTGAAAGAGGTTCACTGCTTCACTGTCATGAAAAAAATCAGTTTCTGTATTTAAATTGAGAGTTTTTGATTGGATCTTATCAGTTCTTTTGCCTTGCTTTTAATATAATAACTCTGTTTTGCTGTTCTTGTTATTGCATCATTTATCTTGGGAAAAGATGCATTAGGCAAAATTTATTCTTTAAAAAATATGCAGCTTTTAAAGTACGGAAACTTGTCACTTGGATTTGGCAACCCATCTGAGAAATGTCTAAGTGTTTGCAACTATGATAAAATTTTGTAGAAATATAAGTAGGTTTAATTTGCAGTTTATATTTTCTCACTTCCTTCCTTTGTCAGACTTGTATCCCAGTTTTCTTCCAGAAAGATGATTCACAATGTTTAAAGAAGTACAAATAAAACAGATGAAAGTAGTCATAATGTGGCAGCACTATTAGGCAGATTAGAATATTTCAAACACCACTGAATTATAAAGCAATTCAAAAGTGAGTTTTCATCCACTTTCCACTATAGCGTTCGGCTTTGCTTTCAGTGTTATATGTGTAGAGACAGAAATATGTATATATTTGGAACGTTCTGTCATTCTAGATCAGTGGTTCGCAACTGTTTTTTGACCGGGGACCACTTTGACTAGGGATCACTTGACCAGGGACCACTTTGACCAGGGACCATTCTTCAGTATTAGTACCAAAAGGGTTACACACCTGTTTTATTTGTCAACTTTAGATTTGGTTTGAGTGCTGATTCAGAAAATTGCATTAGATAAACCACATCCGTTCTAGTTTCTGATACAGAACATGTGCCATCCCGTAGTCGCTATCTGCTTGACCCACAAAAAAACCATATTTTATAATCTAGAGCTGATGTAGTCTATCCAATGCAATTTTCTGAATCAGCACCCCAAATAACTCCAGGAGCAGGCCTAAAAATGAAGACACCAAGGTGCCCTCGCTTCCAGGTGCCACATGGATTGGCTCTGCACAGGAGGAGGGAGGAGGAGGAGAATCAACACTCAGGATTGTTGTGCCTTTCATGGGTAGTCAGCCTCTCCCCTCCCGACATCCCCGTTGGCTCAGCACTATACTACTCCATTTACTTATCTCACCTAGGGTTTTACCAATTTTATCCTGTGCATTTGGCACGACCATTGTGCTTTTATTCTTCCACCATGTTATTTTGTGTTCTTTATTATACATTCTGTTATTTTATGTATCTTATTTTGACGTTATCATTTGCTTGTTTGCATTTTACTTTACTGTACTGTAATTTTGGGCTTGGCCTCATGTTAGTTGCCACAAGTTCCCTTTGGGGAAATGGTGGTGGGTATAACTAAAGTTTATTATTTATTCATTTATTTATTTATTCATTTTTATAAAGGTTTTGCAAGACTGGTTGCTCTTGTTGCAATGGTATAGAAACAGTGAGGCCACAAACTATATTTTAGTTCTTGGGGACCATTGGTGGTCCGTGGACCACAGGTTGGGAACCACTGTTCTAGATACATGTGCAAATAACACAGGGTATACCAGTGCTAAATGATTGACCCTGGTACTTTTTAAAATTACAATGTACAATAAATAAGTTTATTTATCTTAGTTTTGTCCATATGGGGGGATCTGTTTGGGAGCAAATGACCATAGATCAGCATATGCGTGTTTTTGCTGTACAGTAAATTGGAAAAGCCAGGGCTTCTTCCTTGTGCATGCCAACGTGTGTTCAGTGGATCAGCAGTTGAGATCTGGATTTAAGAAGCAAACATACCAATGGCTTAGAGAAAAGAAACTCAGCTTTATTGTAGGAATTCCATTCTAACATAAGAAAGTTACTCAGGGAGCAAATTTAACCAAGCTACATCTTGGAAAGTTGAAAGCAAATTCTGGGAAGCAGAAGAGCTGTAGAAAATCCCCAAGACTTGTCAGTTTACATCACAGAGGGAGCAGGATAAGTAAACAAAAGAGGAAGGCCTCTTCAGGTCTAACCCTATTTTCTACTGCCCACTGTGAGGACTCTTTACTCTTTAGTGCTAAGCGTTGTTGCGTTTCCAACAGTGCAAGGACCGATAGTGTACACCAGAAGGGGAAGGGGGTGAGTGTGTCCTTAATTCCACATTAAACGTTTGCGAGTGTATCCTTTAAAATGCTTATATGTATACTCATGCTTTCCAAAAGGTTGGACTTAGTATTTTTCCCTTCTTTATTTAAATAATACAGCTAGCAGTACTAAATTACTACGAGCATGTTTCACTTATCAAAGATCTGGTAGCAAAGTTCCTTTTTTCAACGGTATTTTATACCTGCCCAGCTCTCTTTTCTTCCTTCTCCTCTGTCAGTCTTCTGATGTTGTGTTGTGGCAGTGTATCTTCAGTAAATCCAGTAACATAGTTTGAACTGGGGAAAAAGCAGGGCCAATCTTAGTGTAGCTGTTCGTGCCTGGCTACAAAAGACAAGGTAAACAGCAGCTTCATCAGAATGCCTTAATGAGCATGTATGAACAGAAAAAGAACTAGAAGAAGAGAATAGTTACCCCCAGGAAAAAGGACAGGCTTATAGATTTGATGACCAAAATGGAAACTATTAAAAAAATTGAGGCTGATGAAAGAAAATACTTTTTCTTGATGTTCTTTAGGAGAAGTCTTTAAGAGGTCTATAGAAGTGAGTTGTTTTAGGTTTTTGGGGCTGTATGGCCGTGTTCTTGAAGCATTCTCTCCTGATGTTTCGCCTGCATCTATGGCAGGCATCCTTAGAGGTTGTGAGGTCTATAGAAGGTTTGGATGTTTTTGTCTACTTATGCAAAGCTTATCTGATCTTGGTTCTTGTGGGTTTTTTCGGGCTATAGAGCCATGTTCTAGAGGCATTTCTCCTGACGTTTCGCCTGCATCTATGGCAAGCATCCTCAGAGGTTGAGAAGGTCCTTCTCAACCTCTGAGGATGCTTGCCATAGATGCAGGCGAAACGTCAGGAGAAATGCCTCTAGAACATGGCTCTATAGCCCGAAAAAACCCACAAGAACCTAGTGATTCCAGCCATGAAAGCCTTCGACAATACATTATCTGATCTTGTTTAATTTCACATGTGCATATTAGTTTTACATAAAACGTTTGATGAAATGTATTCAACAGCTCTTTTTTTAAAAAGTAGGAACCTATTCTATTTTTCCAATATTTATGTCCGTGGTATAAATATTACATTAAAGAAACAAAGTCTAGGAACATATTTACTTATTAACTGGGGTACATGCAGCAGAGAATTACAATCAGCCCATTCAGTAAGGTTAGGGGTACAGGATCCCTGTAAAAGTAAGTAACAATGAATAAAGAAATTGCTATTTTTTCTACCTCAGATAACACCTCTCTAGGAGTTTTGTGGTCTCCCAGCATGTTTCCTATGATCAACTTCCACTGGAAGCTCACCACAGAATTGAATTGGGGGCCCCAG